GGACTTCTCCCAATTCATCCCTACGTGCCCCATCCACATACCTTCTTGGAATAATCACCACTTGGCATTGCGATGGTGAACACACCCTTGGATCCGATATAGGTATGTAGATGCAAACACCAAATTAGGCTGACTCAGGCCACACAGATCGGGCATCTCTCGCTCTGGGCGGCGCAGTGCCTGCCCCTTTTCTCCCCGTCTCCGTGTTTACGCGAGAGCATCGAGTCATGATGAGTTTCATTCAATCATTCCATCAATCAATCAGTCAATGTAATGTCGATCGGTCATGCCGACATTTTTCTGCTTCGGTTGTTTCCTAGTGATGATTTTGCGTTGAGAGTGACGGGGCCTGACTGGGGCCTTGCATCTCGCATCTGTCCAAGCCCACAATAACGCACGGATACACCATGACAAAGAGAAAGGTAGTGAGTGGGTGGGAAAGAGGCTCAAGCAGTACCGAGTATTCATCCTCGTATCTATTACATACCATACATGCCTGATCTTGAAGTAGATATGTATGTAACATTGCAGATTCTTTGTCAAGAACCGGAGAACGTATTCCATTTTGAGACAGTACCTTCTCTCCCTCACAATATCCTACCTGTGCTCGTCATGAGCAGAAACAGGGACAGACAGAGACAAAGGAGAGAAACAGAGATACCACGATCTCCGCGCGTGAGAAAGTCAAATGACAAGCAAAGGACATGGCAAAATCGGCAATAGTTGAAAGCAGCATCCATTGGGTGTATGTTGTTTTAATGTCCCCCGATCACCGAACTCCACGGGTTTGTATGTCCATACCCGTCCTAGAGGTCCTCGGCCGCGCCACCGATATGTAGGGAATGAATGTGGTTGGATTAATTCGGTGAATCATCGTTTTCCCGTCTTTCTCCAAATTTTTCTATATCGAGCACAGGCAAGCATCCCGCTGCTGCTGCGGCACGGGATCCCTGAAATCTGGGAATGAAAAAATCCTGCGGTCGTCCATTCGGGTGCTGAGTGGCAGTGCCTGGCAGGACCCTGTATGGCTGGCCGGTCTGGCTGTGCCCTTGCTTACTCGGTACTTCTATGAAAATGGGTAGTAGTTTGCGCGAACCCGGCAACACTCCTCTTCCTACTCTTCACCTCCAAACTTCCCTCCATATAAAGTTCCAAATATGGCACCACCACAGGTACAGGTGTGGAGATCCAAAAACCCAGAATGGCAAGATATTTGGGCCGTGGGCCGAGGCCCTGTTGGGACTAACCAGCGGTATTATTGTCCCTTCCCTCAATCCTCATCTTCGTCAGCAAATGGTGCGAGGGAAGAGACCTCGATCATGAATCCTGGACCTGGACCTGGCGACGACGACGACGTATGCATACATGCATGCAAGCGGCCGATTGTGGAGTAATCTTCGTCAATGGGAAATGGGATGATAAAAAACTTATTTTGCAAGGCTTGGACTCAGGTTCGGGTCTTGGTAACCGTTGCCAAGGGTTTCAAGGACCATCACGAATGCTACTCTAACCCTACCAAAAAGGCCGTGGAGATAGGATAATAGATGATTAGACAGATACCAAAACACCACAAAGGCCAAGAAGGCTCATTCGACAAGTAAACTCGGTAAAGTCGTAGTCAGCCTGGTGCCAGCACTTGTAAACGGACACACGGACCATCCGGCTGAACAGAGCTGGGCTCGTGCTCACTCACCTCGTCCACACACCTGGTATTCCCCAGCGATCTAATGGCCGAAGGTAAACTGCTTTCTCCACACTCGATCCATCCATCACTTTGTAAAATACGTGAAGAGGATGAGCTGGCACTAGTAAAGACCAGGAGGATGCTCGGCTGCTGGGCCTTTTGACATACAAGCACATGCGCAGCTCGGCAGAGATGCAGCAGAGTCCCTGCGCTGCTTTGTATTTACGTATGCGGCTCCAACGTTTGCTGGAATGGCTGGCTGAGCCGTGACCCATTGGGAGGCGATACGGCTATCTAGTCGCATCAACGTACGAGGTGCACGAGGGAGGAGCTGTTGGCCCATCCCGTGTTCCAGTTAGGCTTGTGTTAGGCCAAGGCAGCCTTCCCATTTGGGATGTCTGTGGTAGAATCGAGGCGCAAGTACTCGCTACGCGATACAGCGCAACATGATTGTCTGCCCAGTACGAGTACGGATGGAGAGGAGTACAAGTTGTAGACCAAAAATGGGCCGTTCGTATCCTAGCGGGAGTCTAACCACGACACGATCAGACTGACAATGCAGCGCGAAATGAAGCCAGGTAGGAGCAGAAGCCCAGACATGGCTTGCGGGTGATGCCCCTTGACAGGAACAGACACCAGTCCGAACTCATGGTGTCATTATCTCGTGCAACCATCATCAGCAGGAGGACAAGCCGGCATGGTACAGTGGGCTATCGCATGTTCGGGGAAGCTCACCAAACGGGAGCCAGGACCGGGGTAGTTGATCTTGAAGGCGGGAAAACCGCGAGGGTCCTAACAAGAAAGGAACAGCACGAGCTGCCGTGTCTTACTCTTGCTCTGCCTACAAGTCCAGGTCCAGGTAGAGGGAGCCGATGCGAGATTCTTGACGACATCACGTTGTGTGATAGTCCTACATGGTTTAGTCATGGATTGATGGGAAAAGGCAGGAGGAGACAAACAGGCGAATATCAGTCCACACACTCGAGGATACTACTACTATCCACCTCGCATTCGTAATTACCCTGGACTTTGTAGTTGTCTGTGAACAGGCAAGCGGCCGCGCAAACAGCCAACAAGAGAATCCACCCTTACATATGATCACCTCGCATCTTGACGCTTTCGGGCAGCGAAGATGGGAAAGCTGAAGGGTTCGACGCATTGGGGAAGAAGGGAGCCTGAGGAGCCTGGTGAAGAATCGCCCCCATGCTATTTTCGGGCCGTGACAATTGAACTCTGTCGTTCCCACGATGGGTGCATGCTGCATGCCGCATGCCGCAAGCTGCAGGGTGCAGGGCGGAGATGGCTGTCCTTTGATTCCGAATGATGCTGCCGGTAGTAGAGCCTGCAGTAGCCAAAGAGGGTGAGAGGTGTGGTGGGGAGAGAAGAGGGAGGGAGAGTTTCCAAGGGCCAAGGGCGCAGGCGCAGGATACGGCGAGGGGCGGATGGCCAGCAAGACATTCCAGGTTGTGTGGTTGCTGCATTCTCGGGGTGCATTTTAGGCCGGGCACACCAATAATCAACCCTCCAACGCCCAAAAAGCACTCTCGGCGTGCATCCCTTTTGCCTGGTTTGGGTTGGTGGTCTCAATTAATCCGAATCTATTGGCGGGGGGGCATTCGCCCGAAAGGAAAGGCAAGCCTAAGCCTGGTTGCGCCCTCTCCTGCGCCCATCTCTCACAAAGAGCATGAGCTCCCTTGCAACGTCACCATCAATCGCTTGCCCTGTCTTTCCCAATCACCCTACGAAACAACCACAGCGACGGCGCAACCATGTGCATCGAGCAGAGAGAAACATCGGGCCTCGCGAAGACCAGACCAGACAACAAAGAGAGAGAACCCTTCGAACAGGTGGAGCGTTATGCATGCCGTCATCAAACCACTCAAGTACCCAAAGCTGGGCTCTCTTGCTTTCCCAGAACAGATCGACAAGCTGAAGCCTAGGCCTGGTGCCGCCGCCAGATCAAGCAGAGGCTAGTTCATACAGAGTGAAAGAAGGAGGAGGAGAGGGGGAACATACGCACCTGGTATTGCTGTATTGATACCATTGGACATTACGGCGAAAACATACAGAAACGGTAATTGTTGGTCTCTGCCCTATGAGCTCAACTACGCACCATGCCCTCCACTCACACCTAAACATCCCACCTAACCCACTTTCCCAGCCCACCTAGAGCCCGCCTGCAGGAGAAGGGCTGCGGCTGTGACCATTCATCAAGCGAGTCACCCACAAAGCCGCACCCAAGAAAAACGGGATTAGTGCCCTGAGCTATCTGCACAAACACACTCTCTCACACCCCCTCCCCCCCTCCCAGCCCTGCCTGCCCCTTCCTTGTCCCTGGTCAACTTTTTTACCGCGCCCACTCACAGTTGAGTGGTTAGTGATTCGTGTTCGTGGTCCTGATGCTCTAAACTCTCTCTCTCGAGAATCTCATGGTGTCTCCATCCACCCAATCCATAATTCGTCGATCGTTGCATCTGACTGCGTCCACTGCGTCTTTCCTCCTCGTTATATATGCTCGTGTCTTTCTCTTTATCCTTACGCTCGCTCACAACACTGCTATTATTTCGCCTCTCGTTGACTCTCTCGTTGGAATTCCCTCCACATTCGCTTGCCCCCCTAATTGGCAATTGTTCCGTCTCTCCATCGTTACGTCTCAGCCTCTACAGATAATGCTAATTTGTTTTCAACCTCACCGTCAACCCGCCGCCCCAATTTGTATGAGCCTCCTACCTTCGTCAGGTTTCGACTCCAGGCCACTCGCCCTCGCTTTGCATTGACGAAGAAAGAGTGAGACACTCTCGCATATACCCCACAGGCACACTTGACGGATGTCTTGTATGCCGTCCTGAACACCAGGCTTTGTTCATATTATACTCGACTCTCTCTCCGCCTGTCCAAGCAGCATGGACTCGCCCACAGAACGCATGCCGATTGCCTGCGTCCACTGCGCGAAAGCGAAAGCAAAATGTGACAAGAAGGTCAGTCAGACTCGTGAGAACAGACGTCTTTTCCAGGGCATTAGGGGAAGAAAGAGCTGGTGTGATCCAATGGGCTATCGACGACGGTGGGACTGCTTCGCATACCCAGCCTTGCAGAGCCTCATACAGAGCGAATGTCTGATTGTGCGTTATTGGCATATCACCTGTTCTGACAACCAATATCACAGGTCCCATGCTCAAGATGTGTGAGCAAACAGATTGTGTGCCAGTCCCGAGCCACTCGTCGCTCCTCCCACAATCCCAATCGACGCAACCCTCTCCCTCGCCCACATTCAGAGCGTGCTCTCCATTCCTCCGCCTCATTCCATGTATCACAAATGTCTCACTTCTCTCCGGGCGTCAATGGAGTTTCTCCCAGTACGTTTCGTCCTCTCTCCGCGTACGGGAGCCGGAGACTAAATGACCCTATCACAGACAGCATGGGCCCTCGTCCCGTACTTCAACACCGGATGAGCCTTCCTGACACAAATCACCCAGTACCAATTGCCCCAGCTGTGTTCGGCGCAGATATAGAGCCACGGATGTTGAGAGCCGGCTTTACACAAACGCCCCCAGAGCTGACTATCCCAATCACTCCAATGATGCCCAATATGCCGCATATGGAGAACTTTATACAAATGCACGGAGCCCCCTACGACCACGAGGGTGAGAGTCATTTCTTAGCCATGAGCGGTGCCCAACCCGGTATGCTAGATTTCGACTCTACCAACATGCTCACCGACTTCATGAGCCCTCCTCCAGCCATGATGCATGACCACACAGATCAATTCCTTCTGCATAGTAAGATGGGAATTCCGACCCCAACACATATGCCTCTCCCGATTCAGATACCGGACGGAGCCACACCCTTTCCCATGCGGATGGACCTGGAAAGCCCTCATAGCCATTTACAGTACCGGCCCCCAGCCGGCCTCTCTCCGTCCAGCTCTTCGACCACCAGCGGTCTGCAGGAGCCCGATGCCGTGTTGGCCGCCCATCACGCCTGGCCTTTCTTTCAGTGCAATCGAGTCGATAAACAATATTCCTTTGCCCCACCAAAGACGGCCTCCATCTACTTGGAGGGCCTTGCTCAGACACTCCGTAATCAGGCAACCTGGGCGGCGTGGACGGCTCAGCTGGATGAGTCTTCCCTGGACATTGCCACAGAACGAAAAATTGCGACTGAACCCATCGTAGGATGGTCTCGCGAGAAACTGCTCGCCATCACCCAAAGCTTCCTCCACAAGGCGCTGGAAATCCACAAGGCAGATCACGCAGCTCGGGAAGACACCCCATCGAGCCCGGACTCCAGCCGTGATGCATTCTTGATGTTACCACCCCCAGACGTGATGCAGTACTTCTTGAGGAGTTACGTCGTTCGATATGAGCCCTACTATTCATCAGTTCCTGCCGGCCGACTTGACCCCAATGTCTTCATGGGATCAAGTAACAGCAAGGCTGCAAGCCTTCTAATCCTGCTGATGGTCGCCTCGGGGGCTTCCGCAACAGCCACGGTCGAGGCACGATACCTTGCTAGTGGCTTGACGGAAGCTTGCAGAATCTCACTCTTTGACACGATCGAAAAGGATGTGCTCCAAGCACGTGAGACTCTGGTGCTCCGATCTGCTCTCTTGTTCACCTGTCTGGCTGCATGGTCCGGTGACAAGTGGCATATGGACGTAAGTTAGGTTCCGGATACTTTGCTTGATCTTATTGTTAACAGCTCATAGATGGCCATGGGCCAACGCGGCATGTACCTAGCAGTGAGTTCTTCTCTCCCTGATGAAGTATGACCCTTGCTGATATTTCCCAGATGTTGGCACATTCTGGAATGCTTGAGTCCGATGAATGGTCGACGACTATTGAAAGCCGAAGGCAGGATCCCGAACGAGCCTGGGAGGACTGGAAGGAGCACGAAGGCAGACATAGGTGAGTTGTTCCCGTGTGGTCAGGAGCAGCCGTGGCGTTGTATCATGCTGACCAGGAGAAAAAAGGCTCGCTCACTCATGGGTAATCGTCGATCAGGAGATGAGTCTCTTTTCCGACACCACTCCCTTATTATCCATCGTAAATCTCCATGCGCCTATGCCCGACTCTGATGATCTTTGGCACGCTGAGACAGCAGCGGACTGGCTTGAGTTGTTCGACAGAGCCCATGGGTCGACATATGGGAGTCCAGCGTCGGTCAGAGACTTCTTCACCAGTTTCGTTGATGGAGACCTGGCGGGCAAGGAGCTCTCGCCCACGCAGCTTCGGTTGCTCTTGCACCCCATCCAGGCCCAAGTATGCCAGCTACGCCAATTTATTGCGTGCCTACCTGACGGTGGTAACCACGCCAAGGCATCCCGTGCAGTTTCCAAGGCGGCCACCAAAGCTCGATTGGAGGAGATATCTTCCTTGCTGCAGCACTGGTATTCGATCAGCAAACAAAGCTTTGCAGGCAACAAGGGCACGTGTTGGACGACATGTGCCAACCTAATCATGTATCATCTAATATCACTCAACGCCATCACCAGCTTCAAGGACATTGAGCAATTTGCTCGCCGCGAGGTGGCTATTGGCTCATTCCGATACGCATCGTGGCTGCAGATGCGTTGTATAGACCAACCGGAAGAAGCCTTCTTCCATTGTGGACAAATATTGCGTTTGATCCGCTCCATGCCCCACGCCGTCCGCCCGCCGTGGTGGGCAGGAGCAGTATATCGCGTGGCATTGACGGGGTGGGCCACCAGCATGGCGAACAGCAATGGGCGATTTTCGCCCACGCATGGTCCAGCCGAGTCTGACCGACCATTTGCGATTGATGACTTAACACCAGAGAACGAGGCCATCGGTCGGTATATGAAATACCAAGAAGGCACTCCCATGCTCACACGATCGGATGGATCACTTGCACCCATGGACGTACCTTGCAACCTGCTGCAACACTGCATTGAGGTTCTAGACGATGACTCGTCGATGCGGTTGACAGATGGCATCAAGCGCAAACTTCGTGTCTTCATGTCAAGCTGGAGAGACATGTGACAAGTCCGACAGCACGGCCCCGTCAGATGATGGCCGGTGGGCTATGGACCCAAGTCGTCCAGGACGTATCCCTCTCACCTGGGAATCTTAATACGCCATTTTCACACTTCTTCTCGATATGGCGTGATGTTTCCGCCTCTTGTACAGTTGATGAATATACGTCTCATGTCTTTGGATGATGTTAATGAGAGCATTGCGGGGCGTTCTAGACGACGGGACATATTATATCCTAATGGTATATGCTGCAGGGGTGTTCTCAGTACGTTGACTGTCTGGGAAGATCTGACTTTTCCGGGAAGATTGAACGTGGTCAACGGGAATCTGGGAAGAAATCTTGATTGTCGGGTATATATTGTGGGAGGAAGGTATCGTTGGGCGCTCGTCGCTTTCATGTTGCAGGTGTTCCCTTCTGGGTACGTATGGGATCTAGTTCGGCGTCAATGGAAACCAAGGGAGATACAATCCAGGTGATATGAATTGGAAGAAGTTTCTTGCCATCCGGCTTTCGTGTCTCGATTCCTTTGTAGTTGTTGGTATTGGACATTTAGAAGAAGAAAAGGTTCAGAAAACTCTGGAACACTTGGGACAAGTGACACTGGGGGGGACGGACCCGAATTATATGAGGACGAGAGCGGACCTTCGGGACCTTCCCAGGCAGGGGGGGGACATCAGGGCACGTATCAAGACCATATGGAGGTTTTTGTTCCTTTCTAAAACAACACCAACAGAGGCACTAAGGGAAACGATTGCATCACGGACCCGACCCAAACATGGGCGATGCCAGAACCAAGGTTTCGGTGGTATGAGTGTCGATTGATTGAAGCAAGGCAACTTGGAAGCAAAAGCGAACAATTGGCTGTTTGAACCACGGGGGGGTTCGAGATATGTCGGGCAATCGGACAAGACCTGGGTCCGACAACAAAAAAACGATCCAGTCTCCGCACCCTAGATCGACGGCGGTTAACTCGTACGTTCCCCCAATCAACGGCAGGCAAGGGCAAGGGACAAAGGGCAGACGTAGGTTCTGATTGGGAAATTTGATACCCGTCGAGGCCGTTAAAAAGGAATTGCTGGGGAAAAAGGCAGTCTAAGCCTAATGTTGATGGTGCTGGAGGTCTTTAGCAAGTTACGACTAGTTAGTTGATTGTAGCCTTGGGTAGGGGTCCGTTGAAGCGGATCTCGTTTTAGAAAAGGGGAGACAAATAGGTGTATGTAGGGGCCGGAACAAGGGGTGTTCTACCGAGTACATATGCGGAAAGGATACAAGGACATGCGAGTAAAAGCATCGTTGCTATGTATACCCATACTCGTACTCGGTCCATACATACTCGTTCGTTCGTAGATGGGGAACGGGAGACCGACCACCAGGGCAAAGCAGGACAGGGCAGGGCCACGGCCAGATTTGTTCGGAGCTACGGAGTTTTAGTAAGAGGTAGGGTAATTGACAAGGGATTGATTAGTTCCCCTCGGTTTGGGTTTGGGTCTGTTCTGGATACGAGGTATAGTACCTCGTGGTAGTAGGAGTACGTAGGTCGCTTGGTAAGGACGAGACGTGAGGATGTTTGGAAAGGGGACAGGGGAGTAAGCAAGCTGAGGAGTTTGTGACAAACAACCTTGACTGCCTCAGGCAGGCCGAACTGGCAAGGCGATGTGATGATGTTCGTGTGCGTGGGTGTCTGGATAAAGTCCGAGACTTCCACCCCAGACAGAGCCTTGTTTATTTTATGCCCTTCCAGGTACGAGCAGTGCAGTGCAGTCAGGACCGGAAGACGGCCAGGGTAATTGGGAGTGAGTAGTAAGTGGTAATGACCAACTAACGTCTCGATATGAACGATGGACTTGGCATTAGGGCAAAAAGTACGACGAACAGACAATAATAAAAATAATGACGCCAGACTGAACAAGAACGGGCAAGTACGAGGCGAATTGTCAGGCACCAGATAGATGCGTTAGGAGCTGCTAAAAATGGAGGGATGGAGGGGCCGACAAGAGATGCGGCAAGGGACAAGGGCGCGCTAAAGAATCCAGGGGGAAGGAGGGGTGGAGGGGAAGGCACGAAGGAAGACCCCTGCACTACTGCACTTACCAAGTACCTAGCAGTTGTTTAGCCGTTAGCGTTCGGACTCTTGACGCCCACAAACGGTTAGGCGCCACCAACGGTTTAGTACCCAAGGTACGTAGCGTGGTACTGGTGAATACGGCCGTGGTAACTTTCTAAGGGAAATCTGAGACATGATTTATTAGACCGATTGACCTCCCAAGTCAAGGCATCATGATTGATGAGTTGATTGATCTTCTACACAAACTTCAATGGAGGATAACAACTACTCAGTAGCCAGAGAAGTACCTACCCTGTAGATAGACCGGGAACCACTACTGGATTCAATGCACTATGTACCGAGCACATCTCGCCGGACTTCCGACTTTTGTTCTTTTCTCTCTCACCCCCTCTCTCCTCAGCTAATAATTACTTACAAATTGCCCGTTCCGTTCACTACGGCAAAAACCAACAAGCCTATATCTCTGGTCAATGTGACCTTTTTTCCCCCATCAATAAAATGTCCTTCTTCCAAGTCCGCGTTCTATTTCTGTCCGACAATTCTGTGTAGCCATCCATCCACTCCCAATGCGTCTCCTTTTTTTTTCTACTCCCGCCGCAGATCCTCTCCTCAATCTTCAAAACGGTGAGGCTGCCATTTGCCCCTCCATGTTTAAATAATACTGTCACACAGAGACCGAGAGCCCCTCGTTCCCGCGCGTGGCGGTCTGCCCCGCAGTCCAAACAACATTATCGTTCAATCCTCACCGCCTCGATATGCTGGGTTCGCCAGCGTGACCAGCAAAGACCTCGACTGGTCCATTTTACTCTCCGTCCAGGCACGAACCATCGGTGAGGCTGCCAGCCATGAGTCGCCAGACCCTCTCTTCCCCCTCCCTCAACGCCTTTTTGGCCCGATTCACCGACTTGGGCTTCTGCGGGCTCTGCGGGCAGCGTAGCAAGAAAAATCAATAGTACGAGTTATCATGGGTAGTCGCAGTCCGGCCTAGTGTCGGGAACAGTCAGTCACAGAGAGGCCGCCACGCACTTCACCAAACACGCGTGTGCACACAAACAAACTCTCCCCTTAGTACGGAGGGGAGATTCTGGCCCCCTATTTTTCCCACCCCTCGTGCTTCTTATATCATCCATTGAAAAAAATCTCGTTATTCCTTTTTCTCTTGCTTTGAGCGGTCAGTTCATTCACAGACATAAGTTATATTCTCATCCCCTCCAAACATCCCATCCTTACTCGTGCTTCATTATCGCTTGTCATCATCTGATATAGACTGTCCGTCATTCACTTGTCGGATACCCTCGTCGTCAACCTTCTCTCAATCTACTCAATCCGTGTCCTCACCGCCCCTTCCTAACCCCCTCCCCCGCCCTTCCCAACCTCAAAACATCTCACAACAAACATGAGCGGCCAATCCCAGATCCGCCTCGATGGCAAGGTTGCCCTGATCACTGGTGCTGGTCGTGGTCTTGGTTCTGGACTTGCCAAAACCCTGGCTGAGCGTGGTGCTGCTGTCTGCATCAACTATGCCAGCTCGGCCAAGCCAGCTCTGGCCACCGTGGCCGAGATTGAGAAGGCCGGCGGCAAGGCTGTTGCCATCCAAGCCAACATCTCCAAGGTCCCCGAGATCACCAAGCTCTTCGAGGAGGCCATCAAGCACTTTGGCAAGCGTAAGTCGAGATCTTTTGACGTGACCTCCCTACCCTCTCCGGGATCACGTGCTGACATCCCGCTCAAGTGGACATTGTCATCAACAATGCTGGCATGGAAGCCTTCTCCAAGCCCGAGGATGTCACCGAGGAGCTGTATGACCAAGTCTTCGGTCTCAACACCCGTGCTCAGTTCTTCGTCGGTCAACATGCCCTGAAGTACCTCAGCGGTGAGTTTAAGAGGGTCCATTGTTTGCATTCCCTTTTAGGCTAATCGGTTCCCGGTACAGACGGTGGCCGCATCATCTTCATGTCATCCATTGCTGCCCGTCTGGGTGTTCCCAACCACGCTCTGTATGCTGGCTCCAAGTCAGCAGTTGAGGGCTTTGCTCGTTCTTTCGCCGCTGATGGTGGTCCACGACGCATCACCGCCAATGCTATTGCCCCTGGCGGTATCAAGACCGACATGTTCGCCCAGAATGCCTGGCATTACTCTCCCGGTGCCACCAAGGATACCCCCATTGAGGTGATCGAGGCCGGCATTGCCAAACTCATTCCTCTTGGCCGATGCGCCGTTCCCGACGACATTGCCAAGGTTGTCATGTTCTTGTGCCACCCCGACAGCGAATGGATCAACGGTGAGTCTTACCCCCTGTCATTAGTTGTCGTGTTTTTGCCAGCTGATCACTAACCTTGCCCTTTTAGGTCAAATCATCACTCTCACCGGTGGCAGCGGTATTGCCTAAACAGGTCTTTCTGCTCGTCACCTTCTTTCCATCATGAGCTTTTTTTCTTCGCTGAGAATCTTGTTGGCATCCCAGAGCGTGCTTTCAGCAGTAAAAAAAAAAGTTCTTTTGGGATTTAGCAAAGGCGGTTGGGTAGAAAAACCTCCTTGGTTCGGGATGAATGATTTGGATGTAGGAACGTGGTGCAAGTTCCAGGCGGTGCCACGGCTAGAGGCGATGACCAGAGAAAAGATTGGGAAATGAAATAGAAATTTATCTTTAGCAGTCTTCTTCGACTACGTCTTTTTTAAATAAGTGATCTCGCACGCCTGGTCCGTGGTTCACGGTCTGCGGTACCTGGAAGCCATGGTACGCGCACGTGACTGGCTCCTCCCCCCTTTTTTGGCGCGCACAGACACCCGGAGAGTTTCTGACTTCACTTTCCATTGCCGCCCTTGATCTGAATGCAACATGGACAAACTGCATCTCCGCCGCTGGACTCCACGACCGCTGTATCGATACATCCTGGAATTACCGCTACTCACCATTTAGGAAACAAGTTGCTCGGACAATAATGCTGGCTACCGAGGTATCAAACTTCATGCTATGGTACCTACAGTACTAACAGTAGTCACTCCGTTGACACCAAACCCGAATCGAACCAGACCAGGAACCCAGGAACCCACGCAGCCACGGACGGAACTAACCTCCGACTCTCCGACAGCTCGTCTACGGAGTACTTCGAGGAGCATAGCGTCTATGCTACGAACGACTAAGAACTGAAGCATGTAGGTAGGCACGGGGGTACATACTTATGCATCTCCTTCGAACGACCGACCTAAGCACTCCGGGTACCGAGTACGTGTACCGAGAAACTGAAGTATGTGCGAGGTACCCCCGTCCGGAGTACCGAGGACGCCGTACCTGGTACCTTAGTACTCATATGCATATGCACATGCACGTGCGGAGGGGTCTTCCAGAGGGCAAAGGGGCCCGCTCCGTAGCAAGAACGAAGAGCAAGCATGCGAGGGGGGTCTATCCTGGACGAATCAGGTGCTGTGAGGGTCTTCAGAGATGGGGAGCAGGTTGATCTGAACCACGGCTTCTTTTGCCCCGGGAGGAGCATAACCTCCGCTCCGCGCCATTTAAAGCACGGACGCATCATGCATCACATACATATGCGATCGTACAGGCCAAGTTCAACTTGCGTCAGAGGCAACCACCCCCTCGATCTACTTGCCTGTAGGTCATCCTCCCCTGGACTGCTGGTGATATAAGAAGAGAAGCACCCACCCCCTCGATATGTCGTTTGATGGACTCTTCTTGGGTCAAACCCCGTATTCCTTGACACCACAGAATTTCTGGACTGCCACGCTTGACGACAGCAGCATTGTTCAGTTACTTTCGCATTTTGATTCCAGGTGTTGCATACCAGATGTCTATAGGTCGGGTCGTACAGAAGCAGTGCCTCTTGTGTCTAACTGGTCATGATTAACTACGCACATCCCGAAGGGCGTGTCTTAGCGCCGAGATGACAAGATCATGACCGTTCATCCAAGGATATATCTAACAGTAAGTGCAGCCGATCTCTACAGACTCTCGCCATTTTCAAGACCCAGAGTGCTTCGGGTACTGGACTTTTGCAGGTTGCTGCCTCACAACTTACGTGTCACCCTACCTCTACCATTCTGAACTTGCTTGCACTCCAAGACTATCTCTTGCAGACATGGACAAGTTCACTCTCCACGAAGACCCCATCTCAGCTAATTGCTACAAGATCCGTTTAACTGCGGCGTTGCTGGGTATACCGCTGGAACGTCGCCTCTACTCAATCCTGAATGGTGAAACAAGAACGGCAGAGTTCCTCCGCACCGTCTCTTCCTTTGGTAGAATCCCCGTGCTGCAGATTGGCGATTCCACGTTTCTGCCGGAAAGCAATGCTGCCTGCTTTTATCTCGCCGATGCCACCGACCCAGCGTTCATATCGTCGTCCCCGCTACAAGTGGCCACTCTGATCCCCCAGGACCCGCTACAGCGTGCAGAGATGTTGCGCTGGATGTTCTTCGAACAGAACCAGCACGAAGTCAATATCGCAACTCTCCGATTTTGGTTATACATTATTGGGGAGGACAAGCTCGAAGCGTCCAGACGTGCGCAGATCAAGGGTAAGGTCGCGGCGGGAGAGCAGGTTTTGGATTGTATGGAGGATCACCTTGCAAAGAGCGAGCACGGGTGGTTCGTGGGCGACAGCGTGAGTTCTATTGCTTTCTTTGTTCGACTCGGATCTGTTTCAACAATGTCGTTGCTTAGCCTTCCCCCCTGACTCAATACATGCTAAGCAGCATTCGCAGATCACTTTGGCGGATGTCTGCCTCTTTGCGTACACTCATATTGCTGGAGACGCGGAATTCGAACTCTCCAGATGGCCGTCGATCCTCAAATGGTGCGAGCAAGTAAAGCATGTCCCAGGCTACATTCCCATGGACTAGGGGCCGTGACGGAGTCAACTCGTCGACAAGGATCCATGATATCGCTGAAGCAGTAGCTGGGGGGAGTGGTCAATCCAAGGACAAAGACATAATCAAAGCTGTGCTTTCACAATTTGATCCCCTTTGTCCTCCATGATTACTTTGCGACAAGGCACCGTTGTGTCGGGTGCCATGAAACCAAAGCCTTTGTCTCGATCCAAGGCATCTGCCTCAGGGGCTTGGACGCCACACAAAGGGAGGACAGGAGTGCCTTAAGAAAGCAATAACATAAATCCGACAGCGACGCCGAGTCTACGGCCGGCTTCCCAACGAATTCTCTGACCAGCTAATTGACAGCGAGAACAGACTTCTTCTACACGACTCAAATCTCGCCAACTCACTCCGACACTCTTATCAAGCATGCGTGAAAAAGTCAATCCTACCCAATCCCAAGGGGCAAAAACGGCGAGATTCGTTGATCGATTCAAGGCGGCGGCGCACAAGAAGACGGCAGCAGTCCGTGGATGGTATGACAGACGAGGTCGAGGGTGCCTCAAGTCCGTGGTTGAGAGTGAGTCGGACGAACCGGCGACCCGGATTGAAGAGTTCCTGACTCATGCTGGTACCGCAGAATTTCGTAGATCGAAAACCCACCAACCAGAGACACGCAGCAAGCCGTCAACAACCCCCGAGCCCGAGCGCGAGTTCATACCCGGACACCGAGAAGCCATGTTCGACCTTGCATTCGGATCTGGGTCGGTGAGCAGCTTTTCAAGCTTGCAAGACATATGCAACGGAGCCCCGGGGTCCCTTGTATCACTTCCGTCGACTTTCTCGACGCGCACGATGAGCCCGATATTTGTCCCTGAAACGAAAGCGCCGTCACGATATGAGCGTCGTCTCTTTGGCATTGACACGCCAGATGACTTTGACCAATTCCGGTCCGGTGTGCGACATAGCATCGAGCTAGACTCTACCCCGACATTGTCTGCGGAGGAGAAGCCAGAGCCAAAGCTCAATAGCTTGACTGTAGATTCGACGCCCATCCCTGTCGGTCAAGAAAGCCCCAAGCCTCGTTTCAAGGCATATCCTGGCAAGACAGACACTGAGAAGCAGGACCCCGTCACGTTCCAAGCGTACTCGACTGGATCGAAGCACAAGAATGGCAGCGTTGGTTATATTCCACCTACATTACAATCGGGTTTTGTCAATGGGGTTCCACCTGTTCTCCAGGCCGCACACGGCGGGAGCAACTCGGCTCAACGACAAGCTACTCGTGATCGAGAGGGCACGACGCTTACAGATCGTCCAAGTCAAAACTACGCGTGGCCACTGGTGGATTTCCACAAGGAGATTTTTCTGAATGCTGATCCGTCACAAGCTAATCACTCTACCCGGTATCAGGAGCCACGCATTCCTTCGATGGAATTTTCTGGCCGGGGTTTGGAGGACGAAATGAAGACGGTGCTGGGCAATCTCCACAGGCCGGTGGTCGACAAGAGGGCTGGGCAAGTGGAAGATCGAGCATGGATGTCACCCAGTTCCCCTTTGCACTCGACCGCATATGCAAGAGAAGCGTCTATCCCGGGAGTGACGAGAAGCTCTGTGAATCTCGATACTCAACCCCACCCGCGAGGTTCTACTGTCGCGGAGGCGGCGCAGAACCAGGAGAGCTTTCTGTCAAGCGACGGCCGAAGAATCAAGTTCAGCGAGTACAACTGGCCGCGATTCAGCGACGACGGATACACAGACCCAGCCGAGGAATACTCGCGCCAGTATCGGCGCCGGAGACGGGAAGCGCGAAGAGGAGCGGCTGGACGAGGAGCGGTCTAAATGACTCAAGTATTGGGAGGTATTGGCAATGGGAATCGGGAAGCACAGAGAGTACCGTGTACTTGACCTGTCGTTGTTTTTGATGATATCGGGCTTCTCAGGTTCGGTGTTCTACTCCGAGTCCGATTGTCGGCGATGAAACGGCATTACTTGATTGGGGTATTCCGAGATATGGAGGAGGCGCCAGAACCGAGTTCGAGTACCCTTGTAGAGTTCAGCCAAAAGGGCCAAGTACGTAACCAAGTAGCGGTGAAGATGGGTGGATGGTTTGCCTCCATTTTTCTTTCAAACAAGAAAATCGGATCGATCACATGCAGTTTTGTCGGAGAGATTTGACGTCACGTGTAAAGCGGGGGGTTCTTGTCAGCTCGGAATGATTAGGCCGAGGCGTAGAACAGTTGAGCAAGTTCGCCCCTAGAAGAACAGTAGAAGCCTAGAGATGCCCCGTTCAGCATCCGTCGGTACCCCTCGGAACCTCTTCTGAGCGAGGCTTTGTGAGTTGGAAGCCTGCCTCGGGAAGTCTCAGGGACAGTCCGAGTGCAGCCTATTCGTAAGGCGTCAGTAATTATTGCAACCCCCCTCCGAGTGACACCCCCCAAGTTGCCCCCCAACCCCATACGTAGGTACCCAGGGCATCCCCCTCTCGGAGTCACTCCCCAACCACCCAAACGCCAATAATTGCCCGCTTCGTCTATCGTCTATCGATCTGATCGCGCATCATTTCCCAATTCCTACACTGGACCTTTTTCAAGCCTTTGTGCGAATTGCCCATGTTTGGACATTCATGAGATGCCATCTTGCCATGTCCCTCGAGGACCCCAGAATGATCAGCCGGTTATTTCTCCAATCGATAAATCATCCGGGATCATCATCATCATTATCGTTTTGTGTCTATCATCGTTCGATACTGCAAGGTTCATTTCATTGTTGCAATTTTTTTAGGCTATTGTTCTTTCTAGTAGATATTCCTTTGTCTTGCATCATTGCAGGCTGGGAGCGGCCCTCTAGTAAGAGCACAGTATGTCAATCAACGACCAACTTGTAACCTCGTACTTGACTTGTATAGGTACTGACTGACTGACCGACTGACTCAGCCTGCGCTACTCCATTGATCCCATGAATGGTGTGATTTTTTCTTCCTCTTTTCTTCCCGAGGTACCGAGTCACCCTCCCTTGTCCGTGGATGTTTGGAGATTGTCAATGCAATGAATGCATGCATGGCCCTTTTGATGGGTAGTACCGAGTAGTACTTGTAACCTCGTAACCTCGTAGTCGTCCATAATAAGTACATGTACCCGTCCAATTGTCCCCCCTTCTCCCCCCATTCCTCTCCCCCTAGAGGCTCAGAAATAGTTATTTGATCCCTAGAGCTGACCACAAGCAAGGGCCAAACAACGCCCACGCCCACGTCCACGTTTGTGCGCCTCGCCCTCGTCGCTTCTTTTTCCCCTCCCACGCCCACGCTCTCGATCCATCCCTGCCTCCTCCCACTCTCGCTCGCTCGCTCGCTGTCCACCCCCAATATTTTATCATTTATCATCTCGCTCGGCTACTTACTCGGTCAGTATCGTCCACCACAAAAAAGTGGGGTGCATCATTTTTTGACTTCTTTCCAAAGCAGAAGTTTCCGACCAGCCAAAAAAAGGCCCTTTTGTCCTCCCACCCACCCCCTCCTCCGTCTAGCCTCTAGTCTCGAGTGGCTTCTCTTGGGTGACTTCTTTACCCATCTTGCCATCCCACACAGATACCTACATTCCCGAATTGTCGGGCGACCTGGATGGATTAAACCTGGGATAAGCCCTTGATTTCCGAAATCGAACTCAATCCCGCAAAACCGTTCCTCCGTAACCTCCTCGCCTCATCCCCTCTAAGCAATCTACCAACTACAACTCCCGACAAGCTTTTTCTTTGGTCCCCAGTCTTAGGATTGCACATGTCCCATGTGTGAGACAAAACCCTCCCAAGGTCCTCTTGACGTGTCACCCTGGACGAAAACTCCATCACCGCCTTCATTACGACGCCCTCCCTCGCCCTCACCGACTTCACCCCTGCGACGTTCTCCATAACTCCCAATTTTTCCACGCACACACTCGCTCTCACACTCACACGCACACACAAAACGCAGGCCCTGTCAAAGTCGATGACCCTGGCACCTCTCCGTCCGCCCGTCTCCGTCTAAACCCGCCACCAACCGCATCTCTGACAAAAAACGGGTGCCCCTCTTTTTGCCAGTGCTTTCCTGACCATTCACTCAAGAAGACAACCACACAGACGCGCACACGAGGGTAACAAGTTTCCTCGCGAAATTCCACATCGTCCCGTTGAACCTCAGCTTTGTCTCGTTGCAGAGCCCTTTCGCCGAACTCTAGGATTTGAGAAAAAACCCCCGGATTTGCATTCATGTGTTCCCAGTTGTTTTCCCTCCCGTCCCGGTGACCTGGTCTCTGTATGCTGGCACTTTTGATCTCCTAGGACTTGTTGTCGGGGGCGTAACACGACGCATAAAAGATAGGAGACGAGAGGAGGAATTTCTTTTTTACCATGTACAGAAACTCGGCGCAGCTGAGATGCATCAACGGCATTCCGCCCAACGCCCTCCCTTCGCCCGACAACACTAGCGACTCTGATTCGGAACTTCTCGATGCCCTCGACCAGAAGAGGAGGCAGTTGGACGAGGAAGTGGCCAGGTTCAAGGCTGCAAAGGACCGGGAGTTTCGCGAGTTTGAGAAGCAGTTGTGGGTCAATAAGAAGAGGTCGCGGGTCGGGGCCAACAGTGCTCCCGATGGCACGCCCACAAAGGCTTCGATGACAGCCTCAACGCCCACGTCTGCTCTGAATCTACTGGCTTCGACCCAGAACGGCTCTGTAAATGGTTGGTCAGCCCACAAAGCGAGAAGAGACGGGGTGGTGGGTGACAAGGTCATCAAGAAACCGCCCCCGCTGAGCGGCCCGACTCTGTCCCTGGAGAAATTGAATATTGCGGGAGAAACCACCCCGCCGTTGCATACGCTGGGAACGCCCCCAACGCCTACGATCTTGACTCGTGCCAGATCCCGCTCTCCCACAGACGCCGTGGTACGGCCGACCACGCCGCCGCCGCCTGCACGGCGAAGGAGCCATTCTCCACCTGCGTCCACTCCGACGCCTTCAAAAGATCGGTCCGATCCCTTCGCTGGGGTGTTCACGCCCATGTATCTGCCTCTTCTGGAATCACGCGATCGTACCCCGATCGTGAAGAGTCCGCAACCCTTGACGTCTGAGGAAGAGGAGACGAAACGGCTTCAATTGGATGCGGAGTCGAAAGAACGCGCGGACAATGTATTGAAACAACAGGCCCGATCATCTCAGTCATTGCCTCCTCAGCCGGTCTCGCCGTCCGTGGTTGCGACCAAGCGTGCCCAATCCACGTCCATTTTGCCGAGTGCAAGTCTCCCCAGTGCCCTGAGGAGTGCCAGTGGGGGCGGAAGGAGAAGGAAGCATGTCATGTTCCAGCTGGCGGATCTCAAAGTCGTCGACCCAAGTAGCAGCTACGAAGAAGGGCCTAGTCCAGAGTTGGAGGCTGAGAAAGATCCGAACGGTGAACCCGCACAGCAGAGCTTGGAGGACGAGCATGTGCGCGAAGAAATTGGTGAGGCGAGGGACAAGGGGAGTCCCAAACTATTGAGCGTGAAAGACAGGCGTCGAGGAAGAGGGCGGGGAGGTCGATTCATCTCGCCTATCCCTTCACCATTGGCGAGTCCTAACCCAACGTCCTCGCCATCCCCAGCCTTTGATGGAAATCCATCCTCGCTGGGACCCTTGCAGCTTCCACACCTGATCTCTTCCCCCGACGAGTCTGGGTTTTCCGGCGGCCTGATTGGTGCCGCGGATGGTGGCAGCGGGGTTGGATTTTTCGAGCTCGACGAAGAGCTCGCGAGCCCGGCTTTGAGAGATGGGAAACCGGCCGAGGCGTTTGATCTCGAGGTCGATGAGGATCTCAGCGAGAAGGTCGGTCGAGATGGCGCTGACGGCGGTGAGAAAGGACTGGGACTCAGCCCGGCCCTCCAGGTGGGGAGCGTCCCCATCGACATTGTGAGGCCCAGTGGCAGCTGGGTTGGGAGCTTTGGGCATTGAGCGTGGAAGAGGTTCACCAAAAATACAGGAAACGAGAAGGAGGGATCCACGAAGAATGGTGTGGTCCTCTCTTCTATTCCACGTCTCTCGAGACAAGAAGGAATAATCTGGGGGTTATGTATCAGCCAAAACACCCCTTGACTGGAAGCCCAATGGCGATGGAAAGACGCCCCTCCCACCTGGCCCAGCATCGGTTTCGGCTGCATTTTGTCCTCTTCGACACCACGAGCATCCTGGGCGGCATATTTGTTTTTCTATGTCTTTGCTTATTACCGCAGATATTGGGAGGGGTGTTTCTGCGTTCCCCCTCCCACTGCGTGTCCTCCAACTACAACCGAGGACCTGGGTCGGCTATCGTGAGCGATATTGTGTTTGTCTTGCTTTTTTGGGAATTGGATGGATCTGCACTGGTCTCTGAGCTTTGCCACGGTTCTTGATCACTGATCGGCACCAAGGGAAAACAGGTGCCGCGGTCTCGACGAGGGATTCGAGGGCGGTCATCTGTCTGTTTTCTTGCTCCTGGTTTTCGGGCATGGGTGGCGACAAAAGTCGATCAAAAAAGATTTTACGTCTCTGCTTTGCGATGCTTTGCTACGTGATTTTATGCCACGCGATATTTGGTATGGATTTATGGGAATCGCTCCTCGAATGGTATGAGGAGAGGATGGGAAATGGGGAATGGGAACCTGGGATTCGTGTACATACAACTAGCTATATACTCGGTACATATGCCTCCATACTGACCCCAGTCAACACGCAGATGCGATGCAAGGCTACACGACACATTACTGAATGCTTCACAAATGCGACGAGACTGTTAGCTACAGTCTACAATCTAACATACAGTGTTGCGAAAGAGCATATATATCCTCTTACTAGTATGTTCTCCTCGTATGTTCTCCTCCTCGTATGTTCTCCTCCTCGTATGTTCTCCTCCTCGTATGTTCTCCTCGTATGTTCTCTTACTCGTATGTCCTCTTACTCGTATGTCCTCTTACTAGTATGTACTAGTTGTAATTGTGGATCAACTGTCGGTGGTTCGGAGATGGATCCCGATATGACTTCATCGTATTCATCGTATCCGTCGCATTCGTCAAACCTCAAACATCAAACGTCCAGACCGTCTGACCATTCAACATCTTCTTACAGTACAACACTCATCCCGCTGTCGACCCGCATGACTGACTCTATTCGAATGGCCTCTCGCTGTACCTGTCTTTACAGGCTATTGTCACGATAACAACCGAGAGACCCAGCCACCAAGTCTTGTCCACAGCCCTGCACATGTCGACGAGATTGTCACCTCTGTTCATGCTCTTCTCCTTCGTCGGCGCTCTATGGGGCTACTGGGCCATCCTCAAACATACTTCCCTTGTCACAGCAGCCTTTGCAACCTCCCCGGCCTCGGCTCAAGCGCCCCTGGCTGGCTCTCCTGAGGCACTGAATCCCAAACTGACCAATATCATCGCCGAGGATGTCATCAAGCTCTACTACAACGGCTCAGGGCCGGTCCCTGCGTACGACAGGAGATCGCCGCTGCCAGAGGCCATCACCCCGCTGGGCGAGACGGCCGTCGAGGAGTCAATCCTAAATGAGCTGCTCTCCATCCTGCACACTCTCTATTACCCGGACAACTGCTCGAAATGCATTGCTGCGGGCCAGGTGCTCCGCGTCGCGGCCATCAGCCAGCCAGTCGCCATCTTTACCAACGTGCTCGTCAGGGCGTGCAACGCGGTGCCGGCGTTCAAGGCACAGCTGCGCGCGGCGTCTTGCGAGTCGCATTTCAGCGGCGAGGTCGGCGCCGGCTACGGTCCGTATATGGCGCAGCTGTTTTCCAAGATGACCTTGGCCACGGGCGACATGCAGCACTGGTGCGCCATCAACTACGAGTTCTGTGAGCAACAGCCTCCGGTCCTGATCGATGAGGACTTGTACTTTGACCCCAAGCCAGACTCGGCGAACGTGGCCCCCGAGCCTTCTGGTCGGACTTTCAACGTCCTCCATCTCTCCGACTGGCACCTGGACCCGCGCTACGACATTGGGTCCGAAAGCAATTGTTCCAACTACATGTGCTGCCGGCCGTACTCTGTGAACGAGGACCTGTCGACCGATTCGCACAACGCATCCATCCCGGCGTCGCGATTCGGGTCGTTCCTGTGCGATTCGCCCGCCGATTTGGCCTTGTCGGCACTCGTCGAGATGCCCAAATTTGTCGACATGGACGAGCTCTCCTTCAGTATTTTCACGGGCGACATCGTCTCGCACGACCCCGAGGACTTGCTGTCTCGCGACTACGTGGCGTACGAGGAGGAGGTGACGTTCAAGGTCTTCAAGCGCCTCCTGGGCGACAGGATCCCCGTGTACACGGCGCTGGGGAACCACGACACGCTGCCCGTGGGGTTCAACACGCCGCACAGCATGGACCCGGACCCGACCAACCGGAGCAGCAACGCCCTGCAGTGGAACTACGACCTCGTCGCGTCGCTGTGGTCCCCCTCCGGCCACGCGTGGCTCAACGACTCCGAAGCCGACTTCGCCGCCACGCACTTTGGCGCGTACGCGACCACCACGACGCACGGCCTGCGGATTATCTCCATAAACTCCGACTTCTGGTACAAGGAGAACATCTTCAACTATTGGAACGTGACGGACCCGGATCCTAGCGGGGTGCTCAAGTGGGTGGCCGACGAGCTGTCGGCGTGCGAGCGGAAGGGTCAGCGCGCGTGGATCATCGCCCATGTGCTCTCGGGGTACGACGGCTCCGCGGGCATGCCGAATCCCACGGCCCTGTTTTACTCGATCGTGAGGCGTTTCTCGCCGGCGACAATTGCGGCGGTGTTTTTTGGGTGAGTTTGTCCAAGGCTTTGTCAGATCATGTCATGATACGACGTGATATTCCCCTCCCTCCCTGCCTCCCTGCCTCTGTATCTCTGTCTGTCTGTCCGTGTCTGTGTTTGTGTGTCTCTCTCTCTGTCTTTCTGTGTGAAAAGTACCGTGAAACTACCAAGCTCACTCTCTTCCTTTCATATACATACAGACACACGCACCAAGACCAAGTGCAGATCTTCTACGACTACCTGCCTTCGTCGCTCGTCGCTCGTTCGAATTCCGACTCCAAGACCCTCCGCGACACGACGCAGGTCGACTTCACCAAACCGCTCCAGATCGGCCACATCGGTCCGTCAATCACGCCCCTGACGGGCCTCAACTCGGGCTATCGCGTCTATCAAGTCGACGCGGCGACCTTTTCCGTCATGGGCGCCCAGACGTACTTTGCAAACATATCCAACAGCCTCGGGTGGACGACGCCAGTTTGGGAATTCGAGTACGACACGCGAGAGGTATATTCGATCTCTACCGCGGATGAGGGCGGTGATGATGACGATGACGATGACGGACACGGACACGGAGAGGAGGGAGTGAGAAAGGAGAAGGGAAAGGGAATTTCCTGGCCGGCCTCATCCCCCCTGAACGCGACCTTCTGGCACCTCGTCACGGAGAAGATGCTCAACGACTCATCATCATCATCATCTCCCTCACGTCGTCACAATGATGATGGGGACGGCGACACCGCATCCCCGCTCCTGCAGCTCTACGAACGCCACGAATCCAAATCGAGTTCCCACCCGGACCGCCGCACCAGCGGCGAGGGCAACCCGGCGCAAAAGGTGTGTTTTTTGCGCGCGGGGAGTGGGCACTTGGGCGTGATGTGTAAGCGGAAGTATGGCGACGGTGACAACGGTGGAGGTGCACGGTCGCGGCGGGAGACGGAGTTTGGTGTGCGCTGACCTGAACAAAGGGCCAGAGTCCGGAGGAAGGAGGTGGTAGGCGGGTGGGTAGATAGAGAGGGAGGGCAGGTAGAGTGGTAGGTAGGTAGGTAGGTGATATGCTGACAAAAGAGGATGGGACGTGCGCGAGAGGGGATATGAGAGTATATGTCTATACATCATATACATAAAAGATACGAAAGATATATCCAAAGAGCAAGGACAGGGGCAGGGGCAGGGACGAGGATAAGGACAAGGACGCGAGCGGGAAAAGAAGCAAGGGAGAAAGGCAGGAAAGTGAGTATAGGCCATGGGCAGAAAGCCTTCGAGTACGGATAAGTAGATAGACTCGAGTTTTGGACTTGATATTGGGGATCTGAATTCGCATTCGGATAATATGATGATAATGATAACGATACAAGTGTGTATTTCGTGACTCTGACACGGACTCGGACTCTGACTCTGACGCTTGAGTCTACCGGGTCCATGTACTTCTCCATTCATTCATTCATTCATTCGTCTAATGTTCTCGTGTTCTAACATTCTAATACAGCTGAGTTGAGCTGAGCTGAACCGAGTGAGGTCTATGCTCTATGGGTGGTGTTCAAAGTCTATTCTAGCGATGATGAATGCAATCCCATCCCCATCCCAATCCCAATCCAGCCCCCCAATCGCCATGCTTTCCAAACCAGCACGAAGAGGCTGGGTAATCGATAATCGATAATCGATAATATCCCATTCCCTTCCATTGTTGCCCGTCCCTGTCCTCTTGTGCAATTCCAGGTCATGACCCCGGCAGAAGCGAGTGAGGATCGAAGGGATAAGGAAGTAAGAGAGAATCCTGCCCAAAAGATCGATCCGGGTAGTCTTCTTTCCCATTCTTCCTTTTCTCTGTCGGAGTGTGCCGCCATGAATCTAATCCAAGTCGTGTACCGTCGAATGTCCCGAATATCGGGTAACAAGGCACACTTCCATTTCTGTTGAGCAATCCTCCACCGTACAATAATACCTCTGTGCGGTGTGTGGCAGATCTTAAGCCATCACCTGCACACTGGCTGGTTGAGGTTGCACTTCATCCGCAATTGCGACATGTCTCTCTGCATCCGCCGGGTCTTGGCCAGACTTCTCTTGCTCCTCGATGATCTCTTCATCTCCCACAGAAGACAGTTTGCTCGGATTCTGCAGGCCCTGTCCCTCCCAGCCTTGCACCATTTTCTGAAACAGTTCTTTTTGCTTGCCGTGGTCCAACATCGGGTGTTCTACGCCTCTGCGTTTCCGGCTCTCCATGGTCTCCATCAAGAACGCCTCCTCGTCCGAGTCCGAGTCGAATGCGTGCTCAAAGTGGTACGTGCGGTATTCGGTGTTCTCCCAGCCAGTACCAAACAACTTGGTGGCGTCTTCCCAGTCGTCTGTGAGGTAGTGAAGATAGCCACCGTGCGTCACCAGGGCGATCTCGACGTTTTCGTCTCCACTCTCTACCAATTCGCGAGCCTTTTGGCGGAGCAGACGGCGGCAGTCTCTTGCACGGGCTTGGATAGCCTCGCTTGACGGAGAGTAGCGGCCGTTCAGTGTTTTGACGTTCCATGACTCTGTCACAAGCGAAAGGTCGACGGGCCACTTCTGCTCGGCGCAGAAAGTTTGCAGGATACTGACGTCGGAGCCTGTGTCACAGGGACAATCGGAGGTTTCTTGGGCATCGGGAACCGCGAGAATGGTAGGCTTGCACTTGGCGTCGGCTGTCAAGGCTGGCAAGAACGTGAGTAGAGCAGTGTGGAGGGTTCTCTTGAGGGGCGACGCGGTGATCAGCGACAGTGACTGCTGGCGTTCGGGAGACCAGTGCCGTTCTCGGAGGTTGGCGCACTGCGATTCTCCCAGAGGCGTAAGGTGGGGGTCATGAAGAGAGTGGAATTCAGAGCCCAGGTTGTGGAAGCCTTGAGCGTGACGGACCAAATGAATCTTGGGTTGGGCAGGCATTTTAGACGACGTCGATGCGGTGAGGGACTGTGTCGAGATGTAGCTGAAGGGGTAAAGTTCTCGATGTCACTTGAAGTGGTAGAATTGGCAGAAAGAAAGAGATAGAAGGAAAACAAGAGAGTATCTTAGGGAGCACGAAATCTACGTGACGGTTTGGTCAAAAGGTGAAGACGCTGAAGGGAAGCGGGAGGAAATGGTGACTCGACGCCCTTTGCTTTGTTGTACCAACTTTTTTTCCCACCCCGCCCATTCCTCCAATGGGGACTGCATCGCCATCGTAACTTACACCTGTACCGCCGTCAAATGGCGCGCAGAGGTGGGAATGGGTCGAAGTGGAGTCCTAGAAGCCCGCCAAAGGGGTAGATACTGGAGACAACCAGAGCGACATGGAGAAAAGGTCATCGAATTGGATGGCAGAAAGCGCAGTCGTGAACAGACGAAGCACAGAATTCGCGCATGTCAGAAAAGACTCGGGGCGGCGTACCGGGAAGCGGATGCCCACATTGGGCAAAGCCGCACCTTCGAAAAAAGACTTACGTCTGACAAATGCTGATTTCCTCATCCACGCAGAATTACTCTTAGGAGAGGGCACCAATCCACGGTCAGACAACGTGTAGCCACTCGAAAGGATCTCGAACTCGATGCTTCTTGTAACACTCGTCATCCTTGGATTGTTCCCCGGCCCGCCCAGGGCTGTCATTCCAAAGTCTTAAGGCTTAGTCTAGAGTCTATCCACTTACATGTCCATCCTCAGCTAAACTGCTCTTTATTCGTCTTGAGTCTCAATGGTGCTCCCCCGGAACCAGCCCCAAACGGAATTCCTGTTCGCTCGTTTCTGCATCTCTTCTTCAGATGCTGTCTGCTCTTGCACTAATCGTAGTGGCCTCAGCTGGTTCTGTTTCATCACCGCTCCCGGTATACTCCCTTGAACCTGTCTCTCTCCACTCATTTGTGCGGTCATCGAGCCAGCATCGGTTGTCGACCGTTGCTCGTCGCTATGTGAATCACTGGTGATGCTGTTTGCAGAACTGCCCCCACGCGTGCCGGAGGCAGATGGAGTTCGTGTAGTTGTAGAGTTGGAAGGGCCCCCAAAGTATGATGTGCGTCCTTGAGGCAGTTGTGGGCTGAGTGGTCGAATGCCCGGGCTCATTGGATTTCCAGAAGCGGTCCTCATGGGAGATCCACGATTCATCTGTTGAACCACTGCCGCAGCTGCCATGTCAGCCTGCGCCTGATCAGATCTCGCTCTGCGATGTCCGCGGTTCAGAGGGATACTGGGCGCAGTATCTGGGTTCTCATTTGCTGTAGGGCCCGTCGACGCTGGTTGTGCATAAGACATTGGCCGAGCTTTGGCCCCTGGCCGTGAAACAACAGATCTCGCTCGCTGCAGCAAGCCGGTAGCTACCCCCGCCACGGTCGAGGAGCCGGCTGCTTGCTGATCTGGTATTGCAGGCAATGCCTTCTCCGTGTATGACTTTGTGGGAGCCGGATGCGGATCATCTTTATCTTGAATAATATGCTCGAACCCTTCGTGCGATAGTAACCGCCCGATGATTTTGTCGATGTATAATGTGAGAGCCTTGTTTTGATCTCTCAGTGACTTATTTTCTCCTTCTAGTTTCTTGTACACCTCGTTCAGACCGTCGGTGCTCTCCTGCGCCTCGCTAGATTCGAGCTCCTCTGCCAACGTGCTCATGGCGCTCGGCTCGTCGTATGTGTGTTCATGGTGCATAAACGTGCCTTTGAGCGTCTTCTCGCTCAAAAGCATCTGGAAGCTTTCATTTTCTTCTTTGAGTTTGGCATTCTGCATCTTCATTTCTGAAATCGCTTGGTCAAGCTCCAGGAGACGTCCGTCTCCTACGTGTTCTTGTTGCGTCAATTTCAGATGTGCCTCGGCCAGCTCTAAGCGCAGAGTATTGATTGTCTCATCTTTCTGTTGCAGGCTATGAGCCAAGTTCGCCGCATGTTCCGATCGAGAGCCATCTCCGTCGGTTTTTGCGTCCGGCGCCTGAAACTCAGCCATGCCTGCGCTTCGGCTTGCGTTCAACCTTTCAGTGCCCTGCAAGCGCAAAGCTTCATTGAGTCTGTTAATGGTGGCTTGTTGCTCTGCCTCCTTCTTCAGCTGTCGTTCTCGTTCTTGAAGAAAGAGCTGCTGGTGCTCCTCATGTTCAATTTCCAGCTCTCGGCGTTGTCTGTTAAGGTCTCGGATCTCCGCTTTCAAACGGTCCCTTTCTGTTTGCTTTTGTAGGTCGCGTTCTTCCAACGCCATCTGCGCTTGCGAGGTCTCATCCAGCCGTTGTTGCATCACTTCCAATTGTTTTTTGTATCGCTCCGACGCCTGCTCAGCGCGCTGTACTTGCTCTTGCAAATCTTTGATCAATTTTACATTGGCCGACTTTGCCTCTTCGTCCTCTTGGTCCTGATCGATAGAGCCAATAAAGGATGTGCTCATTCGGTTGGGTGTTTTCCTCAAAGGACGGGTCTGCCGGAGCGACGGAGTTCGTGCAAGGCCGGTTCCTGTACTTGCTGGTACAGAACTTCCAACCCCTGGCCTGTTGGGACTATTGTCGTTGGGGTTGCGACGAGATGGAGGAGTGTTCGCGGGATTGGACAGTGGTGCTTTGGAGTTGGGAGTAGCCATACTGGATTGCAGCTTCGCAGAGTTTTGGCCAAGCAGTTGAGACGCGTTGAGACTTGCAGGCAATGCGGCAGAGGGCGGACCGCTGAATGGATTGATCGGGAGGTAGTTTTCGACTGCAACATAAATAGTCGAGGGTGTGCAGGTGGTATTGGCTGCGCAGGAGGTGGCCACAGGTATTGGTCAGGAAGCGAGCCTGCGCCTCAGTGATGAATGACGGCGGTGTTCAGCTGGTGCAGATATGATGGGTGGTGTTTTGGAACCAATGCAGGATGATGTTGGAATGAAGAGGCAAAGTACCGGGCCAGCTAATTACTGGAATACTCCGTTCAGCGGGAATGGGCAATGTCCAACAATTATCCAAACATGCATGCACATGCCCTGATCGAAATCTCCGACATGGTAACAGAAGGAGCAACGGCGGAGCCTCGCGTTGCTAGAGACAGCCCAAAGGCGGCCCTTGCTTGCATTGCCGCAGTTGGCAGGATGCCCGCGAGAGGGAGGTTCCGGGGTCCGCCTGGTTAAAACCCAGCAGTGGCCAGGGGCCATGACCATCCTGACATCTAGGTACCCTCGTTTCCAGTTGGCAAAGGCTGTCTCACGTGCTCGACTTTGCCAAGAACGACTTCCCACAGCAGGAACATTTTCTGGCATGCTAATGGATTGAATTTGTTTTCTCACCACCAACACCACACAACCGCCGGAGCGCATCATTCAGTCATTCCTACTGTCAAACCTGGTAGAGCGCAACGATGGCACCAAAGAAGGCGAAGAAGACCACCGACAGCATCAACTCGCGCCTGGCGCTTGTGATGAAGTCTGGCAAAGGTGAGTTTACGGCTCTAAAAATCAAATTCCTTTGTGCACATCTAACTGATCGATGTAGTCACTCTCGGTTACAAGTCGACTCTCAAATGCCTTCGATCCGGAAAGGCCAAGCTGGTCATCATTGCTGGCAATACTCCTCCTCTCCGCAAGAGCGAACTTGAGTACTACTCCATGCTCTCAAAGACAAACGTCCACCACTTTGCTGGAAACAATGTGAGTACAGCTTCACAAGGAAGACCCTGAGAAGAAGCTCCCCAGAGCTTTGGAGGGAACATTGGCTAATATTACCCCGAACAATTGTAGATTGAACTGGGCACTGCTTGCGGAAAGCTCTACCGCTGCTCCACCATGGCTGTTCTCGATGCCGGCGACTCTGATATCCTGGGTGCCGCCTCATAAACCTCGTACATCAGTGCACGATGGCAAAAAGTGCATGTATCCCATGTTATGATACCCTGGCCGTCCAAGGCGCAGACGGCACGACAATGAGATGAAGCCTTCCCTGGAACATGTGCCCTCACATATGGGATTTGCCCAGGCCGATAAATCACCACAAAATAGACAGGGCCACCATGCTCTATCGGTCCACAAGTAGCAGACAAGAGAATGAAATACCGATGTTGCCTCTTTTGCCCTTACAGTGACTCATTTTGTGTACAGCCAAACGAGACCATAAATATCAGGTCTGACAGAGTAGATGCCTGAATCTAGGGTGCCAGAGCAGATGTGATTGTGTCAGACAATGACACCCGGAATTAGTGGCTTCCGAATCGGGAATTAGGGCAAGATTGTTTCTTTCTTGGTTTCTTGGTGGCGGATGGTCTTGGCATTCGATTTGAAATCAAGTTCGGTGGGCAACCTACAAAGTTCATCGTCGACTCTTCAACTTCTTCCCTCAGACCATCTCGTTCGCAAGAAGTGCTAATCCCCCTAAACAACCGTTAAGATGGCCAGAAGACCAGCGAGATGCTACAGATATTGCAAGAACAAGGTCGGCAGACAATTTTATGCCAATGTGCGATTGATGTGCTAACACGCTGCAGCCCTACCCCAAGTCTCGATTCAATCGTGGTGTACCTGACCCCAAGATCCGTATCTTCGATCTGGGACGAAAGCGTGCCAATGTCGACGAATTCCCTCTCTGCGTGCACATGGTTTCCAATGAGTACGAACAATTGAGTTCCGAAGCGCTCGAAGCGGCCCGTATCTGCGCCAACAAGTACGTCGACAACTACGTCCAAAGACAAAGGAGAGTTTCACTAACAGAGGCACCAGGTATCTCGTCAAGATTGCAGGCAAAGAAGGCTTCCATCTCCGTGTCCGTGCCCATCCCTACCACGTTGTCCGCATCAACAAGATGTTGTCCTGCGCCGGCGCCGATAGACTTCAGACTGGAATGAGAGGAGCTTGGGGCAAGCCCAACGGCACCGTCGCCCGTGTCAATATCGGTCAAATTCTTCTGTCGGTCCGAACCCGAGATGCCCACCGTGCCACCGCTATCGAGGCTCTACGACGCTCCATGTACAAGTTCCCTGGTCGCCAAAAGATCATCGTCAGCAAGAACTGGGGTTTCACTCCCTTGAGACGTGAGGAGTACGTCAAGTTGAAGCAAGAGGGCCGTGTTTTGATCGATGGTGCATATGTCCAATTCTTGAGGAACAAGGGCAATATTGAACAGAACATGAAACGATTCCCCGGCGCGTACGAAGGCGGCAGCGAGATCGCAGCAGAGGCATAGATTTGATGCTTTGGCTTGAGACGTGAAGGAAGATGCATATGCAGAGGTCACAAGTGGAATACTGGAGTAGTTTTTAGTACTACGGAATGAAGGTATCGGCTGGACAACAGTATTGCATGTCTCAGCGTGATTCCTTGTCCGCAATGAAAATGCGCCCTTCACTCGGCAAAACGGGCGTCGTCGGAACACAAGAGGTACTCTGAGGTACTTGCGATCATGATAGACGCGAAATGAAGGACTTCCATACAATGAGATGGACCTATTTGTTCATTCTACTACATGTGCCTCCACAACTTCCTAGTCTTCCTACGACTGTTGAACGTGACGGTATGTACCGAGTCCCTGTAGAAATGGGAACTGAGAAAGTTCCCTTTTGATGCTGCCCCTGGTACCACTGAGGTAATATGTAATACTATTCCTGGCCCTGACCCTGGCTACCATGGACCTAAAAGTGACGACAGGGCGTGAGTGGCAATACAAGAACCTGATGCTCTTCCCAGGCTAGCCTGATTATTTCCCGAACGGCGACCGTTGTCCGGCTGTGCATGATTCCAGTTCACCACGCAATATGCCACAATCCGACAGTCAGATTGCGTGCCTAAAAGCAGAAGACTGTGAGAACAACAGGGGTAAATTTTCCAAGAGTCTTTCGCCCCTCATGCCGTAGTTGTAATCATAAGCCATTTCACTTCGAGGCAACATTGTCATTATTGTAGCAGACTGGTGATACGCCATGAAGGGCGAAACTGGCGAGATTTCTCACAGAGGTCGCGTGGTTTTCCGGGAAATCCATTAGTCAGAAGGGCCGCCTGGGTCCGTAACAAACTTGGCTTGGGTTGAATGGAACTGGGAGGGAGGGTGAGAGTCGTATGTTTAGGCGGCAGATAGGAGATCTCGGGGGTTCAACTGTATCTCTTCAGCCAAACGCGGCTGAGAGGATGGGGAGGCTAGGCCGGGAGCGGAATGTTGGACAGGGCGAGGAGGGTTCATGGTCCCTGCAAGGCCCTATGATAACGATGATGGCCTTCCGGCCAAATCTTGCATCTCGTCATGCATACGCCTGCAGCCCGCAGCTCAGGTCATGCTGTCAACCCTGCGGCTGGCTTCTCCGACTATTGGCCTTCTGCCAGCACTGGCACCACTGGCACACTGGCTGCTCTATCTGTCGATTACTCGCCTTGACGTGTCACTCACCCGACACCTGCAAAGGTTGAAAGGAACCGTTACAACCTGATTGCCCGCTTCCTATGCCCAACACCCCTTTACCCCTATATACCTTACACCCGTTACTTCGTCTAATAGTGTCGATACAGATAGTCCTCGTTGTCCATTTTGCATTCCACTCTCATCATTATCATCAACGACTTTGCGGCATTGAGTTTCCCGAAAGGAGCATCCAAGTCATTCGCGCATCTCCTTGATCGGAGCTGGACCTCCACCTTTTGTGATTCCGACTCATTCACGAACACGCCATCGGAGACAAAGAAGATTGACGACACAATACCAACCCAATCCTTTGTCAATTGACTCTTTTCTCCCTTTCCATCACCATCACCGTTCCCAATTCGATCCTACGATAGCGGCCATTCTCGTGCTCTCTGTAGCACGGCCCACCCGTACCTCCGCGGGTAGGGAAACATGGCCTTCCAACAATCCGCCGCACCGCGGCCAATTCTCATTAATGCGAATCAGTCTCAGGATTCATCCTCTCAGACCCAATTACGACGCTCGACAGTAGAAGATTCCCAAGAATGGGTCCTGTTCTCTCCGAGCACTGCAGAATCAACCATCACCCGCACTCATACCAGTCAGACTGCGGGGGTATCAAGAGTAAGCGATATATCACTCAACACTGCTGGACGGTCTGGTAGGCTTGAGTCTTCCGTCTTTGATGAAGAAGTCACGGAAGATGGTGAACTCGACAGCCTAGACGATGGATTACATGCTTTCAGAGAACCCCCTTTGTACCCAACCATCTCCAACCAGACCCAGGGCGCAGTCTTGCCAACTCATGATGGTCTGGGCACCTTCCCTGCCTCCAGTCCTCCAGTCCTTGAACAATTATGGCAGCATGAGGCATACAACCCAAAACGAAAATACGACGGACATCACCGGCGGCCTTCTAGCGTGCAGAGGAGGCTTGATACAATCGATGAGATCGAAGCGCAGGCGAGCGAGGAGAAGCGCATGCGGATAGAGAAGTGGCGCATGGAACAAAGTCAAGCATTGATGGACGAGGTGGAGCGGGAAACTAGACGACGACTGAGGAGGGGATCTCGGCAGTCCAGTTACCAAGAGACACTGGCGTCCATCAATGAGGATCTGCTCGGAACAACACCGAAGCAGAGCGACTATCTATCCAGACCTGCCGCAGAGCCCGAGGCCTCAGAGCCTTTCTGGCGCCGCATCACGAAAAAGTTTATCCGAGATGTTATCGGCATTGATGAACCGCTTCTGTCGGTAATATTTGGGGAGAGCCTTCCCGACGAGGCTTACGAGAGCCGGCCATCCTCCAGCCATGCTCTACCTCCTATACCTGAACTACCGTCGGAAGGGCAGTCTGTGGAGGACTCAACGTGGAGGGACAAGCTCCTTCAACGCATCGCCCGCGAATTGGGCGTATTTGTACATCAACTGTCACCACATCCAGGAGCCTTCACCACTTACTCCCATAGCCCTGATTATGCCGGCATGCCAGTCTCTGCGTCTCGACCCAAACCCCAGATTTCACTGCCAACCAGTGAGGAAATCCCCGCCAAAACCACCATCTCATCTGGCATGACGCCTAATTTTCCACCAACCGTCCGTGACGCGGCGCATGCTGAGAACTGGGGTTTCGAGGAAGAGCCAGTCTCTACCACATCGCCGCTCGATTCATCCATGAGCCTTCAGCGAGAAAGAGAATATTGGGAGCGAGAGCTTGACCTGAAGATGGTGTTTCGCTACCTCAAAGACCGGTTTGCGACCAGGTCGTCTGCTCAGTCTCCTCAGGCCTCAAGACAACCGCTCGAAGACGCCGCTACGAGAACGGCCATCATACGCCAGCACCATCCTCTGGTGGCGCGGGCTCAGCGGTCTCCTGCGCGCTTGCGACGTGAGTCCAGGGCAAGCATCAGACGACCTGCAAGTAGCTGCGCGAGCGAGAGCGTTCGGAGCAGCAGGAAAGCGTCCCTGGCGAAAAGCGGCTCAAGTCGAAACTACTGGGACATTGGAGGAAGCGTCGGCAGCGGGAGCATTCTGGCAAGTGGTGGGGCCTGGGGTGAAGTGTAGGATATCAGGACATATCATGATATGGCAAGCTTTTACGGCATTATGCATCGGCGATGGGATGGCATTGCACTGTATGAGTATGGATCACGACTTACATGATGTTGGCTATGCAACTCAACTTTTCTTACTGTCTTGGTAAAGACGAGGATCTGGGAGATGACACTACTTTAGAGAGAGTCCGGGACTCGCTTGAACAATAAACAGATTCTACTTTGGTCACGAGACGAGGACAAGCCAGTGTGCCGATGTGGTTTTGTTGTTTGTATTGCCACAGGGATGATTCATGTCACATGACATAAACGGGGCTACGCAGAATTTGATTGGCTGGAATCTACCACCAAGGCAGCTTTGAACCAATTTTTGAGGTGGATGCTCTCGCACCCCCACTGCGCCATTGTTTACAATCTTTGAACCTGTTTCTTGCCTGTCCCATATTGTATTGCCCCCCGTTGCCCGTTCACGAAGCAACCTGTCCACTTAATTCTATAAACCCCTCTTCGTGCTGCCTTATCCAACTTCCCCCCTTGAGGCAAATTCTCCTGAACCGAATTACCCTTACTTTCGGGCGCAGGTGGTCTTGGTCTGGGTCTTGCGCTGACCGGTGGTGGCCATCGTCGTAACCATGGCCGAGGAAGACGAACTATACTACCTTCAACCGGGTTTCGACCTGCATAGCCTCACTATCCCCCGCATCCGTTCAATTCTTGTCGCCCAAAATGTGCATTACCCGTCCTCGGCAAAGAAAGGACAACTCCTAGAAATCTTGGAGCAAGAGGTCTTGCCGCAGAGGGAAAAGCTACTGCGGGCGCAAGCCAGGGTCCGGCGCACAAGTAAAGGCATCACGGATGTTCCAAGCAGTCAAGAAGGGCCAGTTGACGATGACGATGATGATGGCAAGCAGTTGATGCCGCCTCCCCCGCCTCCGAAGACGCCGCGCAGTAGGAAAAGCAAAACGGACCTCTCTGCTTCCGCCGCCACCGCCTCAGTGCCATCGACAGCCAGACGAACCAAGACTCCCAGTAGAAGGAGTACGACCAGAACACCCCGCGCATCAGATACGGAACCAGAGGTGGAGAGATCGACGGTCCGCAGACAAAGAAAGAGCGCACCCTCTGAGGCTGTCCAGGTACCCTTCGTTAAGATCGAACAACCAGAGACCAAGTCCAAGAGGAAATCGGTCGAGGCAGCAGAAACAAGCCCTTTCTCCGACGAGAATCCATTCCAGTCGGGGTCAAGTCCGACGTCAGCGTCGCATAACCGCAAGCCGTCGACATCTCGGTCACGAAAATCATTAGCATCAGCGAGTAGCACAAAGCGCCGAGACACAACCTCGCCCCCCATCAAATCAGAAGAGGTTACACCAACGCGCTCGAAAGTCTTGTTTCCGGTGTCTCAAATCGCACGTGCCGATGCCGAAGACGGGATCGATGTCACGGAAGAGTTTACACCTGATGCTGCACGTGAACTGGCAGAAGAGGAGAGGAATGGACAAGTAGTTCCGGGTCGATCCTCAACACTTGTGAGGCGGAAGAAGAAAAAAGAGACGAACGCAGTAGTGCGAAATGCTCCCCTAGCAGTCATCACGACCGTCCTTGCCGCCCTGGGCGCGTGGTACAGGCAGGAGAAGATCAGTATTGGCTACTGTGGAGTGGGCGAACCGAACTGGTCATTGGCCTCCAACCCACACATTCCTGCCTGGGTGCATGAGAATCTCCAGCCTAAGTGCGAGCCCTGCCCGCAACATGCCGTCTGCTACCCGAACATGGAGGTAGAATGTGAAAGCGACTTTGTGCTCAAACCTCACCCTCTGAGCCTGAATAATCTTGTCCCGCTGCCACCGACTTGTGAACCAGATAGCGAGAAGCAGAGGAGAATCAAGGCCGTGGCAGATCGAGCCATCGAGGAACTCCGCGAGAGGCGAGCGACTTATGAGTGCGGAGGGGATGTGACGAGTTCTTCAGTCCCTGTTGCGACGGAGACCGACACTGTCAAGACAGTAGCAAAATCCTCAGCGCCAAAACTGGAAATTGCGGAAGAGGACCTCAAGCAAACAGTATCCAAATTACGAAGGAAGGGAATGACGGAGCAGGAATTTGAAGAGCTCTGGCGGGGTGCGCTTGGGGATATCAAGGCGCGAGACGAGGTCGAGGTCACTCAAGATCGGTATGGTTGAATCCCACATCCTTTGCCCGGCACATCTTATCGCACTCGCTCTTTGTTTGCGAATCGCTGACTGACTGAAGCTCGCATGTCCCAACACTTGCAGATCCGGGCGAACAGTCCTCTCATCTTCCTCCCTCGCCAGACTCCCCTTCGCATGCGCCGTCCGACGATCCCTGGTCCGAGCATTTACAGAGAATCGAATCCCTATTGCAATTCTGATTCTGATTGCATCGGCCTTGGTTTACGGTCGCAACAAGATTATATCTCACCAACAAGCCACGGCGCAAATTCCCCGCTTGGTGGCCACGACGTTGGACAGACTAGCCACGCAAGCCGCTCTACATCAAGACGGACGAGCCGCAGAAGCATTTATCAGCGTGGGCCAGTTACGGGATGATGTGCTGCGGAACGTGTTCAGTGCTTCAGAGCGCGAGCGCGTGTGGCAAAATGTGAGGAAGATTGTGGAAGGGAATTCGAATGTGAGGGCAGCAACTCGGGAAGGAGGAAAGACGGGCGAGTGGAGTCGCGTTTGGGAGTGGATTGGGCCTCTGGATCTGGCTCCTGGTTTGGAGGGACGGAGGCCAGGGGGGTTGATCACAGATGGAAGGGCTGCAGAAGGCAGCAGTCGTGGTAGCGGCGTGGTGAAGGTGGAAGAGGACTCGAATCTAGAGATCCGGCGGTGGGACGAGGGAAGGCCGATTTATTGATTTTGTTCCGGACAACTGTGGGATGATTTTGTTGCCCCCTTTCCGTGACCAGGGTTTAAGGGCTGTGTCTTTTTTCTTTGGAGTGTGATGGTTCCTGCAAGACGTCGAGCAAGGAACAAATGCTTTCTTGGACCTGCTCCGTCATTGAACATGATATTTTTTTTTGAGGTTTGAGGAGATCTCTCATACGTCTCGTGTACCAGTAATGAGTGGGCTGATGAGGTTTTGTTTTTTCTTACGAGGGATTGGACTTACAATGCCAATTCCGGGTTCGAGTTTAATAGTTGGCTAGTGCCTATGTTAGGATGTCAGATGTCAGGAAGTGCTGTACTTGATGTACTGTCCTGGATGCCTCTTGTGTGTTTTCCCCTTTGTTTGTTTATTTGCTTTTTTTTGGTTTGAGATTAAATCGGGGGATTCGGAATTCTGTTGGACATCTCCCGAGAGGGATAGAATAACTAGGTAGATAATATATTATTTAGAAACGTCTCTCTCCGAGAGTGAGTGCTGTGCCTAACTAGATAGATGTGATCGATCATATACACCTGGTACTTCTTCGTAGTTCTGATGAGGTTGAATTGGTGGTCTCCACCATATGTACCGAGTACAGATGTATCCGCCCAAGCCACCTACCCACCTGGCACCTCAGCCTTGTCGCCTAGGTAAGTGATTTAGACCACCAAGTCCTAGTATGAGTACTCGCAAGTCGGCGTGGAGATCCTTGAAAATAGTGTCAAGACTACAGCGCATCTTCCGGCGCATGTTTACTTGGTACAAATGCCTGGTCTGCTCTGGTCTGCTCTGGTCTGATCTACAAGTAGTGCGATTGGTTTTGGGAGTAATTGATTTGACATTGGCGAAACCGGGGATGGGTCACCCCCTGGTTAAGACTCAAAGACTCAAGACTCTGGCATCAGGTGACGATATACCCCCCCAGACAAGGATTAGAGTCGATCATTTGTTCGCCGTGGCTGAGAAAACAGGTTTTTGGGCAGTTTCCCCGACTAACAAGTTGCCCGAGATGCGAGTTGGTTGTCCCTCGTAGTTTGGTGAAACAACCTACCTACGCACCGAGACACTTTACACACCTAATGCTGATACAAACTTGTGCTCACTTACCTAGCCCTAGCCAGATGGTTTGCAGGTGACAAGTAGGCAAATAGGCAAATACCGCAGACAGCCTTGCCCTCGACCCTATGCACTCTATTACCTATTACCTGTTGCCTTGGGCACCTTGCCTTGCCTGCGCCCTGCCTCGCTTCGAGCACTTGCTTCCCTTTTAGCCCCTCGTTTGCCCTTCTGCGCAACGCCGCGGCTGAATAGCTGTACTTGTAGGTTCATACTCGCAGTCTTCAAGGTTAGAAACCAGGCTGAAAATGTCAATGCCAATGCGAGTGCTAATGCTAATGCTAATGCCAATGTCGACGCCTACGCCTACGCAGGCGCATCTCCCCAAGTCGGTCTGTTTTGCCCTGCCTTGGCCCCGACCTGACCTGGCCTGAACTTGAGCTGAACTGATACATGATACGTGATACACGACACAGGGTTTTGGGGCAGACAGGGATGAGGCGGACAGGGCAGACAAGACAGACAGGGGATTCTACTCGGTCGACTGAGGGGAGAGAGTGAGGCGTCACCAGCGTCCAGCGTCATACCCAATTCAGGTTCAAGTCATGAGGCCTCTTTCTCTTCTCTTACTCTCCTCTAGCCTCTAGCCTCTATCACACTCCCTCCCCCTCCCTCGCTAGCGAGTGACTACTCCTCCTCTTACGAGTATAATAACTTCCCATCCAGAACTACAAATTAGATCCCCCCAAACCCTCCTCCCGTTTCATCTTCTGTGCGGTTTTGTTTTTTCTGCCTTTGCGCATAGCCAGTGTTTGTCGACACACCCGTCTCCTCGTCCTCTACCACGAGATACATTTGTGGTCATCTCAGCCTTTGGGTTCGTATTTGTCCGAGTACGACGAACGTAAGTACGTACATACATACACACGACAAGACACGTGTGTGCGAGCGGAGTGTCACACGAAGGTGGAAATAGTTGGGTTGGGTTGAGTATTTCGCTGGAACGAACGAGGGCAATTCTGCGACCAACAAACCAGGGGCTCGACGACGATCAAAGAAAGGCTCACTCTGTACCTCCGGAAAAACAAACCTCCCCTGGATTATGATCTCATCCATCTCGCCGTCTCTCTGACTCAGCATTATCGACGGCAAACGCCTGGCAGAACTCGCACCTTGAATGGAACGCTTCGAAATTGCCCCAGAACCGACGCAACCGAGCGACATGGCTTCGGATCCCAACGACCCTCCAGCCCTCCGCTTCCTCGACGGCCTCCTGCCCTGCTCCTTTCTCCTCTCCACCTTCGGCTCCCTCATCACCTTCACCGCCGCTGTGGGCATCTACGGCGGCCCGCGCCGGTACTTTGACGAGATCCAGGTCTTCATCGCCCTCGCCTGGTTGTTCTTCACTCTCTCCCTGGCCGTGGCGACCGTGACCGGCATGGCCTTGACATTCCACAGACGACATGTGCGAGACGCCTTTGAACGCGGATACAAGGCCTGGCGCGGCGGCGCGGGCAGCCGGACGGCCGGCGAGAGGTCCGTGGTCTTTGGCATTGTGGTGCTGGGTCTGGGGGGTTTATGGTTGATGTTGCTGCAGTGTCTGGCCTTTGTGTTTCTGAGTCTCTCGGTCGCCGCATATTGTCTGGGCGTCGGATGGATTGGGTTCGTCGTCTCGGCCGGCATGATGATTCTTACCGTGGTGTTTTGGGTTTTGATGGGCCAGTGGGGCTGAGGTGGGATGAAAAGTCTAGCAAGAGAAGGATTGTTGTATTCTGTGGAAGGGCAGACTGTCGTCTTTCCTCTCCAGGAGGCTCAATGCGACTCGCTTTCACAAACGCGACCGCTAGGCAATGCCGAGTGGAGACAGTCTTTTACCACCTTTCGATTCTTCGGTCTCGCATAAGCGACGAATCTGTGGAGTGCAGATGGTGAGAGGCGCTCAAAGATGGCAAATGGCCCAAATATCGGACCGCAACCATCCGTGCTGCTAGGATCGTGAATTTCCATCATTCCCACTCTGTGTGTTTTTTTGGGCCTGGTCTTGTGGCTAGTTGTCCGACGAGGATGTTTTCATACTGGCGCGCAGGACATTGACAGCACCTACCATACCAGAATCTTCTCACTGCATCGCCGGGAGCCAATAGTCATTTTCCTCCTGTCTTAAGAATCAGTATTGAACTGTTTATAGCAATCCGTCGTTTTGTTTGCGAGTACTTTATGTACGTACCTAGTAGTCCACTAAACGCCCCGCGGCCAGATTGATACCAGGCTTGGCATGTATGCAGCAACCTGAAAGTTTGTCATGTTTGCTCCCTTGTTCCACTCAATTTATCTCCCGCATTGAACAGACACGCCGTGGTAGACAACACGTCTCTCCCAACCCGTCACGACCAAACATCCAACACGACCAAGTTATGGATATTGATCGCGATCCTCCCCCGAAACGACGCCGGAGGTCAAGTGAAGACTCATTCTCCTCTCGAAATTCCACCGGCGAACCAAGATCGCATGTTCCTGCCCTGCGCCATGCAGATTCCACACGTTCAGATCGAGACGCGAGGCGGGGAAGGGGATATTCGACTTCGCGGAGCAGAAACGCCAGTCGCGATGACGCAACCCAACCACGATCAAGGAGTCGTAGTCGGTCACGCTCCAGGAGAAGAAGTCTGAGCATGTCCCGAACCCCAAGTTCGATGTACGAGTCTGGACGAGAGCAACAACCCCGTTCAAGATCGGAGTCGCGAAGGAGGTCAAGGTCAAGATCAAGGTCAAGATTCAGATCATATGAGTCGTCGCTCGACCGCCGGGGCTCTCGTTCACGCTCTCAATCACGGCCGGCGTCACCCATCCCAGGCTCGACAGAAAAGCCCAAGTCTCTCAACTTCACCCCTCTAATAACTCTCCCGCGCGCGCACGCTCGAGGAATCACCTCGATCAAATTCTCCCCTGACATGACTCTCCTGGCGACCGCGTCGGCCGACAACGCAATCAATATCTACTCTGTCCCGTCTACCCCAACACCGGACACACCTCTAAAACACATACGCACGTTACGCGCACATTTAGCAGGAGTGAACGCAATAGCCTGGTCTCCGGTGGGACCACCGTACACTCTTGCCTCAGCCGGCGACGACAAATCGATCCTCCTCTGGGCCCCGCTCTCATCGGACTTCCCAATCGCGCCCTCACCATTCATGGGCCATAGCAACTATGTCTATTCCCTTGCCTTCTCTCCCAAGGGGAACATGCTCGTTTCTGGCTCCTTCGATGAAGCAGTATTCCTATGGGATGTGCGCTCTGGACGCGTGATGCGCAGTCTACCGGCACACTCGGACCCCGTCGGCGGCGTGGACTTCATAAGAGACGGGACAATGGTTTGTTCCTGCGCCGGGGACGGATTGATTCGGATATGGGACTCTGGGACGGGACAGTGTCTCAAGACCCTGGTCGACGAGGACCGCAAGGCCGTCACGAGCGTCAGATTTTCGCCGAACGGTAAATTTGTGCTCGCGTGGACCCTGGACAACTGCGTTAGGCTGTGGAACTACATCGAAGGGCGATGTGTCAAGACGTATCAAGGCCACGTGAACATGGAGTACAGCCTGAGCGGCACCGTGGGGAGTTACTCGTACAGCACTGGAACCGGACAGAAGCGGCGGGCAGCATTCGTCGCCAGCGGCAGCGAAGACGGCGACGTGCTGGTGTGGGACGTGACGAGCAAAGAAGTCCTCTGGCGCGGCAAGGGACACCGCGATGTCGTGCTGGCCATGGACTTTGGCCGCACCGCCGACGGCAAGGGTCTGCTCGTGAGCGGGGGCAAGGACCGCGACCTGCGCATCTGGATGCTCGAAGGCGACGATGCCGAGGCCGATTCCGACTTCTTCTTCACCACGCACGGCAAGCAGGGCTTGGGCCCGCAAGACCACAATGACACAGCCATGGCTATGGACATGGATATGGACATGCAGATGACCATGGACATGGGCGATGTGGTCGATGGGCCGACCTCGCGCGGCAATCACAACGACATGCACGGCGCTGATGCCTCCGCAGGGGCAGTGGCGGCTAACGGGAACGAAATGGAAATGGACGTTGATGCTGGTGCTGGACCTTCCATCTGAGCGAACAGCGTGAATAGTGCAGTTAGTGCAGTACAAGCAACGAGGAACCCTAATGGGCTCAAAGGGGAAATGTGATTTGCAGATTGCAAAAGCTTCGATACTTCAATGAATTCCATTGCGTTTGCAGAACCTCAAAAAGATTGCTCCGAATTTCCTCTCAAGAACGACCTCCCCAGTCTCAGCCGAACCCTGTCGTCTCCATTCCATACATGCTAAAGGTCCCTCTCCTGGATGGAGTACCTGGAGAAACCGCAGTTAAAAAAAACATCCCGTCCCGTTTTTTATGTGCTAGCCAAAGACTCGTGAGAACTGAGAACTAGGAGAAGAGAAATTCCCGTGCCATAAGAGTAGATATCGCAGGGACGCAGTCCTTCGTCACTTGACAGATTCGAGCGTCGACACAAAAGCGAGCGACAACTACTTATATTTATCGTGGCACGCGGTAATTCCCTCTTGCTTGCTCGGCCTTGAATCCCTCACTTTGGCTGGGTAGTGGCGCTCGCCGTCGCATGGCGGCAGCGTTAGCGGCATTGGAGGCGTGTGGGGGCGTGCCGCCGCCGTTGTTACCAGCGAGGCCTGGGATGCCTCCCCCTCCGCCTCCAATTCCGATTCCAGGAATGCCAGTACCGGGAGCGGAGCTCATGAGAGGAGGCGCGATCTGGCTACCAGCGGTGGGCGGAGGGGGTGGGAAGCCAGGCGGCAGATTGAAGTTTGCAAAGTCCATCGACGGGACGGCGGAGGTGCTCGGGAATGGTTGTAGACTGGGTTGCTGCTGATGCTGCTGCGGCTGCTGCTGCTGTTGTTGTTGGGTCAAGGCAAGCAGACGCTGAAGGGATTCGGCATCCATGCCGGGAACGGGAGGGAACGGTGGCATTGGTGGAGCTGCTGTATGAGCCTGACCTGGACCACCACGCGAGGAAGGCCGGCCTAGGTTGCCAGCCACACCGACATTGTTCTGCAGGCCTGACAAGAGCGATAGCGGTGGCGGAGGAACATGACCAGTGCCCGGAATAGGCTGCATCGTCCCGTTCATCCCTATGCCAGGAAGGCCAGGTATCCCAGGTAAACCGGGGATTGACAATCCTCCAGCAGCCGCTGCTTGTCCCTGGTTTGCCTGATCCTCCAGCCCCTCTGCCTCGTCTTGCTCTTCCTGCTCTTCCAATTCCTTGGCTTGCTTCCTCCCAAACTTTCTGTCCCAGGTGCCCTGGGCCTCTGCTCCTTCTTCGCCCAAATGGAATTGGTCTTTGAAGCAAGTGCTTTGCCCAGGCTGTGCGCGGGACCAGAACCGCGTAAAGTGGTCGTTTGAGCCCGAAGCCAGAATATGCCCCAGAGGGTGCCAGTCGATAGACCAGATTGAGGAGTCATGAGCATGAGAAATGCGGTGGGCGGGATAGATTGATTGCGCAGGTGCAGAACGGGGGTCTGATAATGCATAGGGAGATATTGTTGTGGAGGAGATACCAGCTGGTGTGTTTGGTTCAGTGAGTAGGTAGGAATGCAGCGAGCCATCGTCGCCTCCGGTGCTGATGAGGCTCGGATGAATTGGGTGCCATGAAACGGTAGTGACGCCTTTATCATGACCTCGCAAGATAGCAACGTCGCGCATCATCCGTAGGTCAAAGATACGTGTTTGGCCGTCTCTGCCAGCTGTAGCAAGTAGTTGATCACGAAGACGGCTAAAGACAGTGGCCGTGATGGCATTCTTGTGACCGTGCAGTGTTGTTAGATTCCGACATGTCCGAGGGTCCCATAATCGGACGCTGTGATCTTTGCTTCCCGAGACAACGAGGCCTTTAGTGGGATGCCAGTCACAGGCTTTTACGTCCCATCCATGCTCTGTAAAGGTCGATTCGTTTACGGAGGAGGTAAAGTCCCAGATCTTGAGAGTGTTGTCATCGGATGCGGTGACGAATTTCGCGTCCGAGGGCGCAAATGCCAGATCTCTGATGGGAGCATCGTGGCCTTTGAATTGATGTGGATTGTTCAGAGTCGGCTGAAGGTAATACACGGTGCCTTCGTCGTTTGCTGCAACGAGCCAGTCCTTTCGATTAGACCATTCCGCAGCCCGAAGAGAACTAGAGCCCATCGCAGTAACAGTCTCGAAATTGAAAGACATGCCATTCCACAGCATGAACTCGCCATTGTGCACACCGGCAAGAAGTCGACGACCTTCTGGCATCCACCGTACGACCGTCACAGGCTTTTTGGATTTTCCCAAAGAGGTGTGAAGATGGCGAACGGGGATCGACTCGGCCGGGGCATCTCGTCGAGCGGGGGGTGGCAATATGTCAATAACATAGCTTTGGCTCGGTCTTTCTTGTTCGTAGTGATAGCTTCCTTTGTAAGGAGGTTTGCGGTTGCTCATCCACTGAATCATCGAGGAGCCATAATCAGTGATTGGTCGCGGTCTCCGTCGACGGAAACCACCTCCATCTTGATCATCGTAGACATTGGACATCGTGACTAACAGAGGGATTCATCGGGGAGAGAATCCCAGGATAAAGGTGGTGGGTTCGGCGAAGGAATTCAGAAGTGGACTAGATGCGAGACACGAAATGGCTCGCTCGTGTGCTCAACATCTGCGTCCACTGAGATACTGAAGCTCAACTTCCTGGAGACAGAGTCTATGCAGTTACCAGGCTCACGGCTGACTGGATCGCAAAGAAATGGGTTGGCGAAGTCTGTACACTCGAAGGCTGAAGGGATCGAAAAGGAAATGGTCAGAGATCCACACAGGTCACAACAAGGAATCGCCAGGTCACGTGATCCATCCTCGAGGCTCTGTTGGGTTGCTGCATGTGCCAGGAAATCGTGGCCTATTCAAATGCGCCGAACACTCCTTGTACAGTAATCAATATTTCATTAATTGAGCTACGTTCTAACTAGCTTCGTACCCTGCTGAGCTCTCCAAACTTTGCCTGCCAAGCAAAAAAGTAGATCATTGCAGCCAGTGGTTGTCCAACGAAGACGAAATTGATCCAAAAGATACAGTTACCAACCACTTTGCCGGTCCCATCCATCTTTGCCAGAGGATCTGTAATCTGGATCAGGGGCAACTGCAGCACCATCCCAAGAAAAGCCACTCCGAGGATGTTGTGGGAAGGCACTCCGACAGCAAGCTCGTGGAGGAGTCCTGAAAACACAAAGACCAACGCACTGGCTGCTCGGGATGACCAGCCGCGGCCGACCAGAGGGGAGTAGATATGTCTCCGCATGAAGTGATAGACAGGCTTATTCCAGGTAGACCAGTACATCCGTAAGCTGGTGCTGTTCCACCAATCTTCGTAAAAGACTCGATCGCCAAACATCATAATCTCAGCAAGGGCATTGAGGAATGACTGAAACAGGGCGAAGAAGCCAGCGAGCCAGACAATCAACGATATAGTCGACAACTTCATCAGTCGTTCCGCAATCGAAGAGAAGTCGAGGACTGCCATGCCGTCGAGCGAGTTGCGCAGGACCGGAACGGCGTATTGTGCACATGTGAGCCAGATAAAGACGCTCAGGGCCATGACTTCTCCAGCCCGTTTGAGGAAGAAACTCCATCTGATTCGGTCGGTGCGTGGGTAATATGGCTGATAGACCAGTGTCGGTGCCCACCAAAAGTAACATAGGTTAGGAAGGGTGATGTTGCGGGGGTAAGGACATTCTGAGTAAATCTCTGGCAGAGCCGATTCAGGACCGCCAGGGTTCAACATAGCATGCCGGAGGTCTCGATTCGTGAAGGCGTAGGAGCAGGTCTTGAGCCACACCACAATAGCGTGGAGCTCACTGATCGCCCCTAGGCCGGGATTGTGAATGCAGTAATAGACCACGAAGCTTGAGATGAGCAACGCAAGTGAAGCATTCAAGGTGTGCGCAACAGCGATCCACCACCAAGTATTGAGAAATTCTTTTGTCTGCTTCTCCGTCTCAGGCTTTTTATTCGCGTCTGGGTCTGTCTTCTTGCGCCTTCCAATGGCTCCTTTAGCATTTTCCATAGCTACTTTCTCGACAATGTAGGCAACAAAAAGGTGACATGGCGTAAGAGCATAGAGGGCCAGAGCAATCTTGATGTCCTGACTCCGAAGGTTCGACTTCAGCGTGATTAGGAGGCCGTATTTTCTGGCGTTCTCAATGACCAACCGCAGGTTCATGACAATGATCGTCAAGACCATGAGATTGCGGAATCCAATAAAGCTCGGTGTCTCTGTCCCTTCATGGCTGAGACATGACGGTCGGACTTTGGAATGCAGAGCTGCAACATGCCGGTATTTGCTGCGGATCTTGGGTTGCGATTGAGGCTTATCGATGGAGGTGCTCGGGACCTCAACAGGTGGTTTAACATCGTGAAGGCCTTTGGCTGCGATATCCTGGGTCTCTGTGATCAGAGTATGCACGTTATAGGCCATGACAGAGTGCCGGAACAATGAGTAGTATGCAGTATATGGCTGTGCTGCTACTTGTGATAGTGTGTTTATTTTCCCCTTCTCTTTCGACTTAAGCCGTGGATCAATCGTCAATCATAATCAACTGAACCCGTCCAGGTTGCAGGGGAAGAGGGAACCGGCGGAGGGATACGAGGGAAGGAGGTTTGAGGATGACATGACGGAATGCAGTTTCGAAAATGTAGCCGTCCATGACTGGAAGACCCCTTCTGGGCGGATGGCAAAAAAGTAAAAGGCACAGACGCACATGGCATCAAGAGGGATATGTGACACGACAACCCGAACACGGCGGAACGGCTTCTCCTGCGTGCACTCGTCATCTAGTGAGTGGGAGAAGACAGGGGTGCATGATACAAAGCGCGAATTTGACTGCGGTTACTGCGGTTGGGAAGAGGAGCTGCGCTGTGGGCCTCTTGTTGGGCCGACTTACAGCATATCAGATTGGCCCATGCCACCCCTTGAGATGCATGTGTAAATCCCAACTATTCTTCTGCTGAGGCCTTTTGCTTTCACTCACGGTAAATTCCACCTTCTGAGTAGAGACGGTGTTTTCTTTCCCATTTCATCGTACAAGATCTGAACCCCAATTCTGGATACATACAGCGCAGTTCGAGGCCGACACAGCTCCTGTACCCAACCGTTTCCTGTGGATTTCCTATACAGAACATATATGCATGATACGCCTGGTTTGTGTATATCTGCGCGCGCACTCGTGCTCAGCTTCGCGGACCTGGAAGAACTCCTGGAGTCATGCTGCGAGCAGTAAACGCGCAGGCCACTCCAACAGTGGCCACGTCGTCCGGGCGTCGTAGTCAGTCACCAAATCCCACAACTACAATGTCGATTGGAAGAGTTGCGATCATGGCTTCTTATCTTCCACTGCTCTCTTAACCGTCTCTTGCGCCTTGCTGGCCTCGAGATCCTCCTCACTCTCGCCCTCGCCCTCACTTTGTTCTTCCAGTTCCACTTCAATCTCGTCTTTCTCTGTTGGCGGCCCTTTGATATGCTCGGCATCGATTGCCAACTTGTCCACGTCATCCTGAGCCCTCTCCCCACCACTCATTTGCCATTCCATCAGCTTCGTGAAAGCCCCATCGGGTCGACTGCTGAGTTCCTTGTAGCTGCCCATCTCCGCAACACGACCATCGCTACCCAGACATATGATGGTGTCGGAGCGTTTGATAGTGGACAGACGGTGGGCAATGGAAATTGTCGTGTTGCTCCCTCTGAGCAATGAGGCCAGAGCCTCATTCACCAAAGTCTCCGACTCGGCATCAAGAGCACTGGTAGCTTCATCCAGGATCAAAATGTCGGGTTCCTTGACCAGGGCGCGAGCAATGGCAATGCGCTGCTTTTGGCCACCCGAGAGCTGCGTGCCACGCGCACCGACAGGAGTGTCCAGACCATCGGGGAAATCGCTAATGAACTGGCAATTTGCTCTTCTCGCCGCGCGCATGATCTCTGCTCGGGTCGCATGAGGTCGACCATATGCGATGTTCTCGGCTATGGTCCCAGAAAACAAGACGGGTTCCTGTGACACGATACCAATCCTGCGTCGGAGAGACTTGACGTTCATCGTTGCAATGTCCTTGCCATCAATCAATATGCGACCCTCGGTAGGCGTATAGAACCGCAAGATTAGGGACGCAATTGTACTCTTGCCACCACCAGATGGACCAACAATGGCCACGTTTGCACCCTGGGGTATTTCGAAATCCAGGTTCCTAAAGATACTCACAGCCGGGCGAGTAGGATAGCTGAATGAGAGATTCTCGAATCGAATGGGACCTCGTGCTGATACCACCTTTGTACCCTTCGTAGGAGAGATGGTTGGCTCCCGGTCCTGCAGTTCAAATAATCGTGACGCCGCTCCGACGCCTTTCATCAGCTCCGAGTAGAACGACGAAAGCCCAAAGAGGGAAGAACCTGCGTATGCAGTGTACATGAGGAAGGATGTGAGCTCTCCGATACTGATTGTGCCACTTGATACCATACCCCCACCGACATACAAGAGTGACAGGATCGTCATGTTGCCCATAAACCCGGTGGACGAGAAGAAGGTCGCACTAATGATGGACTCTCTCTTTCCCAGCTCGAAGATCTTACGCACCTGCGTGTTGTACCGATGAACCTCGAGGATTTCGCCTGCAAACGCCTGCGAAGTCCGGACGTTGCCGAGCCGTTCTTCTGCAATCTTCGTCAACGTGCCGACGTTCTTTTGGATTTTGCGGCTCAGGTTTCTGATCGCTCGTCCATAAAAGAATGCCCCGAGTGCAACTGGGGGAAACAGCAGTGCTAGAATACCGGTCAATTTCAGAGACACCCATGCCATCAAGCCAAAACCAGCAGCTCCACTAACGAAAGCGCGAAGCCCATCGGAAAGATTTTGCGTGATAGATTTGCCAACAATGATGGTGTCAGAGCTGAGTCTGGAAATCAGATCGCCTACACGATTGGCGTCAAAAAATTCGGCATTTTGAATGTAGGTCTGCCGAAAGAGCCTGGATCGGAGTCTGGCCACAATCCTCTCGCCCACGATTCGCAGGATAATGATACGTCCGTAGTTTGCTGCCGCGCCGGTCGCAAGAATACACACAAGGGCAGTGTAGAATGTTGTCAAGCTGAGCCCAAAGAGCATATCCGTCTTCTGCTCTAGCTCGGCACCCTCCGTCTTCGCCCCCCCTTTGGTAGCTATATCCAGGATCTTGCCAATTGAAAATGGTATTGACATGGTGATAGATGAGGATATCAGGAGAAGAATAAAAGCCAGTGCGAGGATCTTCGCTTCTGGACGTGCAATCTTGATCAATCGCCATATCTCCCCAAAGCCAGAGCTCTTGCCCGTAGCACCCTCTTTTGATAGCCTCGCACTGAGGTTCACATGCGAAGCTTGGTGTGCCTTTTCACTTCTGTGAAACGCATCCTCGTCATCCGTTTCGTCGGTAGATTTTGTTCGCTGTTGCTCTTTAATGACCGGAGTGGGCGTCTCATATAGTTTGCGACCGCTCGAAAAGCATACTGCTTGCGCGGCTATTCTAGGACTGAAGGGTGTGTTGAGACCGCTTGCCTTTGGTGCAGAACCGCTAAGCAACCTCAATGACTGGAATGGGCTTTGGTTCCTGGAGGTGTTCGATCGCACCAACTGATGCAGAGTGCGGGACGGTATCCGTGAGTGTCGGGGAGAGGAATTATATAATGAAAGGAGGATATTCTGGTCAAGTTGATTTAATCGGGAGCCATGTTGAAAAGGCCTGAAAGCAAGCAGCACCGAGGTGCGCGTAGCGATCATACCTGTAGTGGATCGAGGAATGAATCAGCGGAGTAAAGGGATGGGCGTGTCTCTCCTCCTCTTCATCTCGGCGGCGGTCGTATATGGGAAGGAAACCGGTGAAGTTGACAATGTGTAATGGCGCGATGGGAGCATTGGAGGTGAGAAAAAGCTGCCTGCCTCTGCCACGGATGTGATCAATGACGATTGACGAGCCGATGAACGGAGACGCGAGACCGAGCCTAGGACGCCCGAAGAGCTCCCACTAACCGCCCCTAGCAGTTAAGTACCCGCCCGTACCAAATGGAGCTTGGCCTAAGCCCCTCCATTTTCCACCTGCAACCCATGGACGTCACCCCCACTACGTAACCGGCAGGGCCACTGGGGCCACCAGAGGCACTTGCTCAAGATGGCAAACATCTAATTCACGATCACCAGACACTAGGTATCCCTTTCTAGAAGCATCCTTGACCTTGAAAAGATTCAAGAGGCTCAACAGGCTCAAGAACAGCAAACATCAAGCAGTCTAACAAGCTAAAACTCGAGTCCTCTCCTCTCTCGTGTTCCCGTTGACCGCCTCCTCGAATCAAAAGCCTGCTCTCTCTTTTGCCCTTACCATGCCTATTTCCTACGACAAGTGGGATAGACTCGAGGTATCGGACGATTCTGACGTCGAAGTACACCCGAACGTTGACACAAAGAGCTTCATCCGAGCCAAACAGCGTCAAATCCACGAGCAGCGCGCCCAGCGAAAGCATGAGATTGACACGCTCAAATACGAACGAATCATCAACGACGGACTGCTCGAACGCATCAATGCTCTCCTAGACGCCCTGAAGAGACACCAAGAAGATGCAAACAAAAAGAACCCTGACGAGATTGTGTTTCAGAGTCTGATCGAGAGCGCCGGTGATCCCGCCAAAGATGAACCGCCCAAACCTCCCGCAGGTGTCTACACGCACCAGAAGGAGCAGCCTAGGTACTCTAAGATGATGGGGGCTCTGGTCGATCAGGTCAAGAAAGAAGTCGACGAGAAGAAAGACAAATCCACAGACAGATACGCAGACTTTATACAGGGAGTGAATGGTCATCTCACCAAGGTCCAGAAGCTGCAGCAGGATCTGCTAAAGCGCCTCGCGCAGTTGGAGAAGGAGGCGACCGCAAAGATCACAAGCGAGGATATCCATATCGGCTTCGATTCGTCTCACATTAATAAACCAAAACCAGCTTCGAGCTCTGCCGAGAAACCCAAAACCAAGGAAAAGCCGAAAACCGAGAGGGTCGAACTGCTCAATGCACCTCAAGGCCTAAGCTCACAGGCACGGGATACACTCCAGTCTGGTGAGGGTGCTGTTTCCTCTGGTGCAGAGGCGGATATTGAAGATGATTCTCTCCTGGATAAGCATGAAGATGAAGAAGAAGATGAGGCAAGTCTCAAACTCACGCCAGAGGGCAAGCAGTTCGCAAAGATCAAGCTTGGAGACTACCGAGCATGTCTACAATTCATCTCCGAGCACCCGAACATCGTCAATGAGAAGACCCAGGATGCCCTTATGATCGAAGCCTTCAACGCTCAGATGAAAGGGCAGGATACTTATGCGCGGACATGCGTACATCAGAGTCTCCTGATTCAATACTGTCGTCAGCTAGGTCGGGACGGCGTCGGGTTGTTCTTCAAGCGAATCACTACAAAGGGACATCAAGCGCAGCAGGTGTTCAACAAGGACTTGGCTGAAACATACGGTCGCATCAAGACACGTGCGGCCGAGTTACAGAAGGAGGAAGGCAACGACCCAGCAGGTGTGGAACAGATTCAGCTCCACGCAGTCGAGCCTGGAACGGAGATCCACATCAATGTGCCACAGCCAGGCTCGGATGACCCTGTCGAGCAAGAGTCACGCCAAATCTTCGAGCGTTTCCCCCCAGGACTACAACGTGCGCTAGAGAGTGGCAGCTTAGACGAGGTCAACAAAGTTCTAGGAAAGATGAGTGTGGATGAAGCCGAAGAGATTGTGGAGTTGCTGGGTCAAGGCAACATGCTCAGTCTCCAGGAAGGGGTGATTGATGCCACGAACGAAGAGGGGCAAAGGAGACTGAAAGAGATTGAGGAGGAAGAGAAAAGGAGGAAAGCTGAACTGGCAAAGAGTGTCGAGGTCGAAGGACAGGGATTGGGTGAACCTGGCGAGGCTGTAAGCTCGTAAGAGGTTGCGCCGCAGAGGTGAACTCTGAGGGTTGACGAGAAAGATTTTGTCTGACACTGACGATGGCACATTCCTGGTACATTAAATACTCGATTATGTGCATATGATTAGGTCATTGTTATCGTCTGACAGAAAGTCTACGACCGCATGATGAAAATGAGTACCCGTCAAAAGTGGCACATAGTAAAAGCCACTCTTCTCTGATTTGTTCTGATTGACTGATCAGCACTTCTGCTTCTTCCTCCTCTCTTGTCAGCTTCGGTCTGTTCGTGTTCGTAAGGCCTCTCCCGGCAGAATATCGATGAAAAGGAAAGCTTCCATGGTGTACTTGGTTTACCAAAGTTCCCTCTCGGATACAGCTCAACTCCATTGGTTGCTAACACAAAGTTCCAGCACTAATGCACCTCATTACCATGTGGATGAGCTCACGAGGCAGTGAGGCAGACACTCCGAGGAATTGTCGTCCAATGGCATCTTCTTGCGTCCCCGTTCGAGTTTGCTCAGCCCTTTGCAAGCAGTATAGATGAATGTTTCCCAAGTCAAATGCCATCATAATAAGATTCGAGGCGTTCTCCTCCTTACAATCATGGCTGTTCCTTTCTCACTCAACTGCTATGTAAGCGGACCGCAAGGACCTGGTGTTCATCCCGCAGATCTGACGACTCTGGGTCGATCTGCGACCACAATATTCTTTCTGAAAAACAGCATAGAGAGTGGTTGACGGCACAATAAGGTACATTGAGGACAACATGTCAGGTTATGAGAAAGATCTGGAGACGGTTGACCCGATGAATCTCATGTACCAGAATGCCGAGCAAGATCCTCAATCGTGGAGGGCTGCCGGACCAAGTCCTCAGCAGTGGACCGATATCAAAAATGTCTTCACTGACTTGTACATTGCTCAAAATAGGAAGCTAAAAGACGTGAGGACCATCTTGCGCAAGCAGTATGGTTTCAATGCTAGCGAGAAGATGTTCAAGCGTCGCATCACTGAATGGAAAATCCACAAGAACTACAAAGCAAAAGACAAGGAACTTTTGGCGAAACGAGTCAAAGAATACGTGGACGCCGGACACGACATTCAGTCGATCTCGTTTCGCGGGAGACCGTTGAAGCTAGATCGTGTCAGGCGCCATTGTCGCAGCGACAAAAGGTTCACTCAGCTTTGGGAACAGTTATCGCAGAGTCCAGAGTCGGCGTCCGCAGGAGATATTACAATCAAGGACGAGTCGCCAACTATGGGCCTACACAGGTCCAATGCCTTCTCAAACTCTAGTACTCCGCCTGGAGACTTCGACTTCAATGCGCAAAGCCGCGATGGCACTGGCCTCGGTCTCATGATGATCGATGTCCGGCCGCCGACTGGTTTATACAACATGCAATCCAGCCTTTTCCACACTCGCGAGGCCGTGCAGTGGCAGTTTACGGCATTCAACCGGCTCAAAATGAACGAATTGCAATATCGATTCCCGAATTCCCTTCCAGAAGAGGTGAGAGCTGGACAGACAGATCAAGTGTCAGCATTTTGGCTGGGGCTCTATCATGGCTTCGAATCCTTGCAAACGGGAAGATCGAGCAAAGCGTGGGAGAATTTCGACATCTGCTGCAATATGGTCCAGCCGTTGCTATATTCCGCACCTCTTCAACTCCTATCTTGCCTGCTGGTACACTTTGCAACGCCATGGCTGGGTATGGCGGCACTAGAGCAGCATCTACTAAGCTTTGTCTCATCCATGGCAGCAAGTGCTTTTGGGAAAACTCATCCTTATGCCAAAGCTCTGAGCATGACGATTGCTTCTGAGAATCGGGATCATATCGTTGAGTCCATGATGCAACTGATAGTTGAAGGGTACAGCGCCCGACGAAAGCCCAGCAATTCTTCGCTCTTTGCCCTGCGAGTTGACCAGATTGACATGCTCCGAAAACGCAAGAATTTCCAGATGGCACATGATATGTGTCAGAGATTGATCAAAGATAGCCAGTCGATGAATCCGAGACGTTATAGGACTGCGCTAGCGGCTCTGGGAAGGCTGTATGCGGATCAGAACGAGGAGTTTGCCATCGAGGGGGTGGCACACCGCATTCTCCAGCATAAAACGGCAGATCCGGATTCGAAAAATAGTGGAAGTGCAGCCTGGGCCTGTGATCAGCTCGCCACTCTTTGTCTGGGTCGTGAAGACTATACACTGGCTGAGAGATACCTGCGCCGGGCGCTGGGTATGTCCTACACCGGACTCCCACACCGCGGCCCTTCGATGGATTCTCTCGCGGACAAGCTGGACTCTTGTTTGCGGCTGCAGGGCAGGAAGACTCGTCTGAATCAGATCCCCGAAGAATCAGGCGAGGATTCGGAAAGGCTGTCAACTCGTCACAAGTAGTGGAGAGCAATCAGAATGTTTCAATTTGTCGGCGCACTAACGACACAGAAAGTCCTAAATATTCTACAAAGGTTTCTTGAGGGACTTTGGAAATGACTTGTGCCAGAGAATCTCGACAGAACGAAAAGTCAGTGTGGATCAGTGTCTTACCCGCCTAAGACCAAACCTGGACGTGTGCTCTTCGGAGACGACGACAGTGAATCAGGAGGTAAACCCTCTCTGGTTGAGCGATGAAGGACCTGGCGCTTCAAAAGCACATCTACATATCCCCTTCGATCTCATGAGCCTACATTTTGAACTCTGGAAGCAGTTGTGGTACATCATCAGAATGCCACCTTCGTACACCCGACATGCCTACTTTTGCGAGCTGCAATTCCCTGCCATCGACACCATCGACACCCTGAAGGGCAAGTCGAATTTCTATCGATGGCACTCTGACATCCAGCCGGTTCTCTTGTCCAATCCCCATTCCTCAGATCTGATACTTGGCAGCTGGACGGAACCTCAATCTCCGCCATCGTGGAGCGTCGAAGACCAAGCCTCGGTCGAGGAGGAACGCAGAGAATGGAACGCGGCCAACACAGCGACGTGTCGCTTCATTCGGGCCACGTTGGCCATGAATGTCGGCCCGTTTGTGCGCCAATATACCACTGCAAAGACTCTTTTCTTCAATCTCGTGTGGTTGTACGGAGAAGACGCCGGGATTGACACTCAGGGTGGCCCGCCGGTACCTATGAATGCTGAGAATGTGAATGCAAAGAAAGGTCGTGCCAGTCTTTTAGCCGCGCTCGAAGCCAAAAGAACCATGGACTATCTGCCGCCTGTGTGCGCGAACTCGAAACCGTCGGCTTCGACCGCCCCGGCTCACAGCAGCAACAACAATATCAACAACGAGGTCACATCTCTTTCAGCATCGGCAACAGATTCTTCTGCATTTCGCGAACCGTCGCTGAAACCCACAAATACCCCGAACCTCACGAGCACACCAGATCGAAACACGACAACTGCCCGTCTATTTGACCGGACGCACACCATCTCCTCTTCCGAACCCAACCTGGAGACCATCCATGAACACGACGAGCCGCATCCAGGTAGACGTGTGCCTTCCGGGTACGTGATAGACTTTGACTTCAACCTCTGCAGCAGAGGCGGAGGAGGACGAGGAGACGAAGCGAAGTCGGGTACCGGGACTGGGACCAGCAGCCTCGTCAGCCCCTTTTCCTCGGGAAGTGAATACGATGATGATGATTATGACGACGACGAGGTGCGCCTTCTTCCACTTCTTCCTGCTCCCTCCAAACGAACGGCAAGTTCCCTTCGCCACGTAGTTCTGCCGATATACGTTCCGAGCAAAAGACCCCGCTTGCTGACTTGTGTGATTGTGACGGAACAGATTGAACTCCACAATGAACGCCACCACCGCCGCTTCGAAGACAGCAACTTTGAAACGGGCTCCGACCAGAACACCGCCGCCGCCGCCGCCAGGGGGAGGAATCCAAACCTCGTCGTGCCGGGAGGTGCAAAGACGGGGGTCGGCATCACGTCGATCCTGAAGACCGTGACGACTGGTACCAGCAACAACAAAACCAGGACTCGGAAACGTCGAGACAGATTCAACTTTTCATTCCCGCTGCGACGGTTGACTCCGGTGCTGGGGCCGGGGAAGGCGGAGGGAACAGGTTTTGGAGAGAGAGAAGAGGAAAAGGGAGATGGAAAAGGGGTGGGGACCCTGAAAGGGTGAAAAAGCCAAGTGTGGTGTGTATGTTGCAACAGTGAAACAAGTAGATTTGGGCTTGAGCATGAGCAAGTCGAGTTGACTGGGGTTATCTGGACGTGTGGGCATGTGTGTAGGCATGTAAGATGATGTTGAAACTCGAGAAACGAACTCGGTCTCTCGAGGGGAGTGGAAGTGGAAGTGGAAGGACAAGCGTAAATAGAATTGTGACTTTATACTGGGACCTCAGAGGTGTCTAGCCGGCATCACGATCATGTTGTTTCTCTCTCTCTCTCTCTCACTCGCTCTCTCACTCACTCACTCATATATGTGACCCATTTTCAATTCTGCCGCTACCACTTCAATAAACCTGGTTCTCTATACGATCGACACGACATCATATCCGAGCTGATAAGACAAGTCACAGCCTGAACAGCCAGATGTGCTCTAAGACATTCCCCCAAAGACAAAAGACGTCAATCATTTCTTCGTCATCGTCTTCGTCATCGATCTCGATCTCGAGTCGTTTCTGCCTCATCTCTTCTCTTCCCCTATCCTCTCTTTCCCCTTCCCGTTCTATATCGCAAGTCAAATCGCAAGCTTAGCCACAAGAGAAGCGCGATGAAGCTGACGACAAATCACCAATCACCAATCAAGCCGCGCGCCGCCTTCGCGCTCTCGTGGACCTCCGCTTCCCTGCCCCTGCTCTCTCTGCTTGCCGACAAACAACCCGTACAGCCCGCCGCCGACATTGTTCCTCACCGTCTTCCAGCCCCCTTGCTCCCCGTCGTCCCGCTCCTTCATGTATTGGCTCAGGTCGGGCGAGAGCATTTGCTCCGTCACCAGCACGGGGGCGGTATACCGCGCGCCGAACCAGGAGATGCCGTCGTGGGGGTCGTCAGCGTTAGTAGTATCATGAGTGGTAGCAGGGGTCTTCTTGCCCATCTCCTCCGGTTTGACCGCTGCTGCTGCGTGGTTGGATCGGGCGGCGCGGTTCGTCGGGGTTCGTCGCACTTCTTCCTTCGCAGCACCGTCGTCCTCCTTCACCTGTGATGCGCCGTGGCGGCTTCGATCAACCCGTACGCCTTGCCGGAGCGGCTTGCTGACGTCGTCGTCAAAGTAGTTAAAGGGCATGAACAGCACGGAACTGGCGCTCGTGTGCATCAGCGTGTTGGGGATGTCCTGGCTGCTGGGCACGTGGTGACCACCCAGGTTGAAGTACAGCACGAGGTCTTCCTCCTCGACCGCCTCGCGGTCCTCGACCATCCGGGTAAAGTCGACCAGCGGCGTCAGCGGCTCGAGCGCGTTGTAGTGGTGCGCCGACCCGGGCTCGGTCGCCGGGTGGTTGCGCAGCACCCACAGGTCCGCCGTGGACCAGGCGGCCGCCTTGCCCAGCGCCGTCGAGTTGACCACCGTCAGGTGCGCCGGGTTGCCCATCCCCGTGCCCGGCAGGATGCGGTACGCCCGCGTCTCGCCCCATTTGTTCGTGCTGTTCGGCGACGTGATCAGGAACATCTCCCCGGCGTTGCGCGGCCAGTTGAGCCCCGTCTCGTGCCTGACGGGCGTGTGCACCATGTGCATCGTGTTGCGCGGGCCCGACACCTCGGGCTGGTCCCAGTCATAGGCCCGCTCGAGGGGTTCGATCGACGTCCGCACGACCGTGTTGGCCGTGCCGCAGATGTCCAGGTCCGCGCGGAAGTTGACCACGTGGTCGTGCATCGAGGTGTGCAGGGCCGGCCGCACACGGTACCCGTATTCGTTGGTGGATGAGTCCCGTCGGAGTGGTGACGACGAGCGTGGCTCCGCGTGAAACGCGCCGAAGATGTAGCCGCTGGCCCGTAGCTTGACTTCGATCGAGCCGTCGAGGTAGAAGATATAGTCGATCTGTGTACATGAGTCAGTGTCATGGGCAATGCGTTCCCACCTGGCGGAGAGATTATCTAGTAAGAAGAAAAGGAAAAAAAGGGAGAAGCGAGGCTACGGTCGTATAAGAGGGGCTCACCGTGTAGTCATAGTTTCCCACCGTGCTCACGCTCCTCACCACAAGGTACGTGTTTCTGCTGACGGTCGCGCTAAAGGCCGAGGTGTGTCTCTGCAACGGCGCGTCCGACGTGTACTCAAAGACGCAGATGGCGTTGCGGTTCGTATACATCTTGCCGCCCCGGTGGTACGACATGTCGAGGTACTCGGCGTGGCCGGGACAGTCCAGCCCCGGGACGAGGCTGAACATCATCTTGCCCATGCCGAAGAAGGTGTCCAAAAACTCGAGGCCGGACTGCATGGGCTCGACACCGGCGTAGTGGGCCAGCGCCTCCTGGAGGCCGAGCTGGTACATGAGGCGCGAGTTGTTGTAGCGGATGTCGAAGAGCGAGAGCGCCGTGGCCTGCGAGGTCGACAGGTAGAACGAGAAGCCCATCCACGAGATGTACTTCTCGGACCGGTCCAGATGGTAACGAGGGCCGTACGGCTGAATCGACAGTGGTGGCGGCATGTCTCGCTCTGGGGTCGACGTGCTGAGGTCTTCAGTGTCGGTCCACTCCCCGTCCTCGTTGACCGTCAGACGCTCAAACTGGGGCGACGCCATAGCTTGCCGCAGCATTGTAATATTGTCGTACAGAACTCCATTGTAGAACCACTCGCTCGTCGTCCAGGACTCCGGGTTCGCGTTGGGGACGTTCAGCTTGACGTACAGGCCTTGTGGCAAGAGGCTGCGGCCATCGGACTTCATGCCCGGCCCGAAAAACTCCAGCCAGTGTACCATACGGCCAGACTCGATGAGTGCAGGTCTGGAGCCCATGACCAACCCATTGGGATCGTCGAGATCGTCTCGGTTCGTTTTTGCGCCCAAGAGCTCCTGGGTGACATCGGATGCGTTCTCGCCGATGGACAGCGCCCACTCCAGCAGCGCAAAGACATCCGAGACAGGGCTCTGGACATAGTTGCGGCCGGAATTGTGGCAGTACGTCAAGGGGAGAATCTGGGTATTGTTGGAGGGTGGCAGCGGACCGACCATGTATTCGACAATGAAGGCGTCGTCGCCCTTAGTCTCGACGGCAGAGAGGCGAGCCCAGCGATCGGGGACAGGGCCATTGTGGTCCAGGTAGTCAACCACACTAGATTTATTGGGCCGGAGCAGTTCGATAAGATTCAGCGGGTTGTTGTCCCCTCGACTCCCACCCGCGCGGTCATCGGTTGAGTTGAATATATTAGTATTCTTCTGAAGCCAGAGGTACACCTGCGACGCTTCCACCTCGTCCAGCTCTGCCCAGGGATTTTCTGCAGGCGCCTGAAAGTGTCTGTGAGGGTGCTTAGATGACGAGGCAGACGGGTCGAACAGTGGATGCCTGGTTGGATCCGAGGGGGAAGTGGAGAGGGAGGCGACGAGGAGGAGATAAGCGAGGCTGGTCAAGACGACCACGGCTGAGGTGGAAATGCCCAACAGCCTCCACAAGGCCATGTTGTCGAGGTCTCTGAGCCGTCTGTGATACAGGAGTCGAAGAGAAAGGAGGAGGAGAAGGATTTGTCTCACGGGTTCTCATGGTGATAAACGTATATCTTCACAAAGTATGTAACTGATTGAGTCATGAGCAATCTCTTGGGTCTTGGACATGGAGCGGAGATGCCCTGATGCCCTGATACACTTCGATGGCCCTCCTGGGCTACAATGTCCTTCCGAGGCATAGTCTGGTATTTTAGTCTTGGGAAGAAGCAGTCTTGAATCGTGGTGAGGTGGAGCTATTGATATATCTCATTAACACACGATACTCACACTCGCTCTCAGTCATTGCTTTCCTCTACGTCGCAGCAACCCCGTCAGGCACTCGCATCTCCTTTACAATCTCGCCCTTCTCGACACCCTCTGCATCCCCGTTAATCACCACCTTGTCCTCGGTCACCTTCAATGTCTCGCCCTTTTCCAATGGTTCGTGTGTGAAGCTTGTGTTGTTCAGATACCACGTCAAGCCCTCCACATCTCCCGTTCTCTCCGCGGACGCCCATCCGTCGCCGAACCATCCAAACTCATTTCCATCGGCTGCAGTCATTTCAAAGTCGTCGAATCTCACCTTCTCAAGCGCCTTGACAGCATGAATACTGCTGCCGGGCCATAACGCCGTTACCCGGCCTCGTCTTCGTTCTTCCGGAGTCGCGTTGGGTGGCGATGACTTGTACCAACTCCCACATTCAGCTGAGAAGACCGTCCGTTCGAAAAAGGCTTCACAATAATTTGTAAAGTTCTCTACTGCTTTCCGCTTGGGCTCAATCGTCTTAGTGTTTCCTTGTCCTAGTCTCTGGAGAATCTGCCCGACATAGTTGGCGATGGCTTCGATGATGATCAGGAGATTACCGTTGCCGAGACCGGCGTTGGGACCAAAGGACTGGAAGAAATTCGGGAAGTGGTCGGTGCACACACTGAGGTACGTTTCGGGGCGCTCTTTGTAGCGATCCTGGAGGTTGACGCCGCCACGTCCATAGATAGGAAATCGACCCTGGAAAGACGTGTCAAATCCGGTGGCACAGACGATCGCTTCCACCGGTCGATGCTTGCCGTCCGTCGTCACGATGCCAGTCTCGTCGACATGTGAAATCCTGGTCGCGATCACGTCAACATTGTCAGCGACCAAGGCTTCAAGATAGCCAGGACCGGGAGTCAGTCGCTTGCAGAGAGGTGGAAAGTCTGGGATGAGATGTTCGGCAATCTCTGGCTTCTTCTCCAGCCGCTTCCTCATGTCCTGGTTAAATAATGACCACGCACCCTCGTGCTCTTTCGTCCCTTTGTGTGTGAGAGCAAAGCCGCCCTGCATACCAACTTCAAGCGCTTTGCGATATTGGACGTAAGATTTAGGGTCCTTTTCCCAAGCCTCCATTTCCTCTCGCGTATAGTTAAAGTTCCCATCCTTTCCGTCGTTACGGGACCGGACAAGCTCGTTACCAAACGTCGCAGCGATCCACGTCCGGCCACGCACATAGTGGTCCATGGATTTGACTTTGGGCTGCAGGGTGGCAACGATCTGAATACCACTGCTGCCGGCGCCGATGACTGCAATCTCTTTGCCCTTCCACATCAATCAGCAAGGGCCCTGGGACGGAAACAGGGGCAACTCACTGAGATATCGTAACTCGAGTCCCAGTCTGCGCTGTGGAGCAGCTTGCCCTTGAAGTCGTGCAGGCCTTTGATGTCTGGCCATTTCCACTCGTTGAGAGCACCAACGCCGGTCATGAAGACGTCGCCGACGTCTTCAACGACCTCGCCGGTATCTAATCTCTGGAACTTCACGTGCCATTTCGAGGTTTCCTCGTTCCATCGAGCTTCGATGCACTTGTGGCCAAACTTCATATATTTCTTGACATCGTATTTGTCGGCAACTCGTTTCCAGTATTGAAGAATTTCTGGGGCGTCAGCATAGAATTTGCTCCAATGCACTTCTGACTCGAAGCTCAGTTGATACGCATGAGCAGGGATATCTGTGTGTTACGTCAATTTAGGAACATTGCCACATCATGTTGGACCTACCACAGGCGCATCCAGGATATCTATTCTCATACCAAGTACCCCCCACGTCGGCGTTCTTCTCATAGATGGCGAGCTCCACAGTCGGTAAGAATCGAGGAAACTGTATGGCGGCACAAATTCCAGAGACGCCAGCACCAATATAAATGACTTTGAGTGGCCTCGGCTCATCAATTGCTCTCTCTGAGATCAACGGATGGGCATAGAGCCCATCCGTCACCTTGTAACCAACCGATCCCATCTTGGCTAATCGTTCGAATGAGAACACGCAAAGAGTGGCGAAAGAGTCTAAAATAAGGCTCCGGAGGGAAGATGTTAGACTTGGTCAGTGGACGCCTCCGGGTTATAGCACAAGTCAAGGCCAATACTCTGAGTCCAGAAGGAAAGAGAGAGGAAGGTAGAGAGCCAAAGGGGATCGAGAACTCAGAGAACAGAATGGCAAGCGGAATGCTGCTCGTAATTTATTGTCTCACGGCGTGGTCTCCAAAAGGAAGGTGTGTTTTCGCCATATCAAACTTAGGACCAGAGCCTTCAGTCTCTGTGATCTGCCGAAAGCAACGGCATCATAAGACATTCTGTGACACAGAGTCTAGTTCGGTCTCTAGGAGCAGGTTGGAACCTGAGAGGGAATCCCAAGGAGCCCCGCCCCTCTGGGGAACATATCGCCCTGGGAAAATCGCCATTCAAAGTAGTGGAGGGCCGCCAATGACTTTCAGGTATTGTTTGTCCCAGTGGTCTCTTGGGTGCATTATCCGGCTCTTGAGTACTCGGTAGTGGTTTAACCCCCACGGGGCTGCGCCATCCGTAGTGACGGTGTCTAGTTAGGAGGAGGTGGGCTCTCTCAAGCGAGCACAGAGGACAACGAAGGCATGCTGAAAGACGTGCTCTGCGGCATACCTCGTACACTCGTGGGTGGTGGCACCAAGTGGCGCACCATGCGCCAGGTGGGATTTTTCCAGGTGTTTTCCGGTCAGCGTTCAGCGAGGCTCGGCGCCAATAGGTGGGACTTGGATGGGCTCTTGTGGGAGCATCAGAGGAGGTCTTCGCTTCTGGTATTAGTTGTCAGATGGACATGCATGCTTGTTTTGGTCAGAATGGTACAAGGACTCGTCACTCGCAGTAGATGCAAGCACCCAAGAATGTGATCCAAATCCTGGGACGAAAGGACTGCAAGTGCTGACTCTGTCACCAATGAGTCGCTGGTAAATCCGAGGCTGTGTCTCCGGTGGCGTCGGCAATTGAACGAAGTGCAAGTAAGAGTAAGAGTAAGAGTACGAAGTGAAGTATCTGAGTATGTAACTCGTACTCGGTATGCAACAACAGAGGCTGCTCCACATACCCGTTTGGAACACTGGATTCGCCATTACTGGACAAATACTCTGTACACAGTTAACAAATTACGTGACCTCAGCAGATAGATCACTCCACTCGTTGAATACACAGAGCGAGTGTCGTACAATGCTGAGAACGACGTGTATGAGAGATCCCATAATCTCGTAGTAGCGTTCGGGTCTATTTAGCAAGGCTGAGCAAGGCTACTCTACACGGACGAGGCTGTAACGAGACGTCTTCAGCGTGAACTATCCCAGTATTATACATAATGTAGTTGTCGGAAGACTGTAGTTTCGAACTGACAAGCGAATCCATTATGACGGACTGAAATCTTCAGTACTCTATCTTGTCTATGCTCTATCATCGAGAGGGTATCAGAAATCGGCCTCTATTTCCCTCTCCAAGCGGATTTGTTTTGCGTTGCCTCATAAACTCCAGCCACTCCTTTCTAAACGACCATGACTCGTTTCAATGCCTCCCAATGCACCTTAAGCCGTAAATCATCGAAAGGTAATCGTGTCAACATCTAGTCATCCTCATCCGAGAAGACTTCTTCACCCCGCTTTCTCCGGGCCATACGTTCCTTCTTCTTCTTTCTCAACTCAGACGAAGTGAGCTTCTTCGCTTTCTTGTTGCCTTCGATCTTGTTGCCCTGAAGAACAGTTAGTATCTCATCTCCAAGAAAAGACTTGACATGGTTGGACATACCATAGCATCGAACTTCTCCTCCTCATCGTCATCCTTTGCCGACAAACGAGGACCAGAGCCTTGACCTTGCTAAAATAAAGAGTTAGTACAGTTCAACAGCGATTGTTCTGGGTCGAATCAACTTACAATCCAGTTGTGGCCGCTAGGGGTCATTCTGCCGTTCATGACACTCCAAACCTCTTCGGTCAGAGACTCAGTGAACTCGGCGTTGTGGGAAATGATGACAACACCACCCTCAAACTCCTTAAGAGCCTTGGACAGGGCACCCAACGAGTCACGGTCAAGGTAGTTGGTCGGTTCATCCAAAACGATCAAATGAGGGCGTTGCCATGTGCAAGCAGCAAGCACGACCTTGACACGCTGACCACCCGAAAGACCACGCATCCGAGAGTGGGAGATCAACTCGGCATCAAGTCCGAAGTTGGCACCGTGTGCCTCAATCTCACGTCGGATCAGAGGTCGGAACTGACCGCTGGCCAAAGCTTCTTTCTGATCAACCTCGGCGACCATCTTCTGGTGGGAAGCTAGGATTTCAGAGCGAGGAATCCAGGCGTTGTCGGCGGTCATCATGGGAGTCCATTTCTCGTTCTTCTGGCCGACGTTTTCACCCAGTGCGAACGAACATTCGTACTCGTACGAGTTCTTGAACTTTCTCCGCGCGTGGATGCCAATGACGCGTCGTTGAGTACCATCAATCTTGTAGATCTTGTCCATAGCCTTCTCGTCATCCTCAGTGACGATCTTGTTTGCTCGATCCATGGTTTCACGATCCTCGCCAGTCTGGAATCGCCATTGGATGTACTCGGATGGAGTCTTGTCCAAATGGTTATCAATGTGGGCGAAAGCGTGCTGTTTGATGTATGCAATACGGATGTTCTCATGCTGGTAGAGCTCACCAGATGTGGGGATCAATTCACCAGTGAGGACGTTGACAAGGGTGGACTTGCCAGCACCGTTGGGGCCGATGACTGCAATACGAGAGCCGAGAGATACCTGGAACGTGATGTCTTGAATCTGAGGCTTGTCGGTGCCAGGATATTGGAATGCCATCTTGTTGACACGGACGATGGCCTTCGCCTTGGTCTTGACACCTTCGAGGAAACCAGGTTCGGGGAACTTGAACGACAACTCAGAAGCACCGAGCTCGAAGTAGGACCGGGCAGATGGGACTCGCTTGGCAAACTCGGTCAGATTACCACGGTATCTGCGGAGCTTGAAGCGTTCGTAGTGGATGACATGTTGGATCACGTTGTTCAGGAATTTAGAATCGTGTGAGACGATGATTGACGTGCAAGGAGAGTTGATGAGGTAGTTCTCGAGCCAGGCGACGTTCTTCACGTCCAAGTGGTTGGTGGGTTCATCGAGCAAGAGGATATCAGGGTTCTCGAAGACGGCACGGGCAAGAGCGAGCTTCATCTTCCAGCCACCAGAGAGCGAGGTGATGGGGCCTTCCATCTGGGATTCGAGGAAACCGAACTCCAGGAGCTTGGCCTTGATCTCTTCCACAGGAGTATCGATGCCGACGGATCTCAGCTTCATTTCGGTCCAGCCAATGACGGTGAGTTCAGTATCAGCGGCGTCGAGATCGTGTTCAACGAAAACAGTCTTGACCTCGGATTGCTTGGGGAAACCCTCGACCTGCTCGTTGTTGATGGCTCGCATGAGAGTGGATTTACCGGAACCGTTGGGTCCAAGCAGACCATAGCGCTGGCCACGCTTGAGCCGGAGCGTAGTTTGATTCAGGAGAATCTTAGCACCATATGCCAAGTTGAATGTGCAGTTGCAGAGATCTTCACCCTCCTCCTCATCGGGTTCAGCCTCAGGTTCGTCTTCGATACCAGGAGAAGCACGTTTACGGAGAGTCTCAGCGACGGCTTTGGCGTCGGCTTCACCAACAATGGTCTTGAGATATTCGACGGTGTTGGAAACCCAGTCAGGCTCGTCGGTGATCTTCTCATCGATCAGCTGGCCAGCGATGGCAGCAACGTAGTCAATGACGGTATCGGCCTTAGCAACGGCGCCTTTGTGCTTTTGCTCGATGATTTCCTTCAGAATCGGGACCACTGTGGCGATTTCGCCAGCATTGGAGATCTTGGGGAAAGATCCGTCTTCCTTCACAGCACCAACTCGCTTGAGAGTGTCCAAGCCCTGTTTGGTCTTCTCACGAGCCTCAGGATCAGCCATGTTCTCGTAGTTCTTCGTAAGAGCAGGCATCAGCTTAGGCAAGAAAGCTGCAACAATTTGAGGGTCTTCGACCAGTTTGCACATGTTGTCCACAATGACTGCGGCCTTTCGCTTGATGGCAGTGTCCCGCTCAGCCAGACCACGTTCCAGGAGAGGAACCATGATGGCCAAAGTCGGCTCGTGGACATCAGTAACGAAAGTGGTGGCACCGAGCAAGTGAACGGTCTCGGGGACGTTCTCAGGCTTAGCAATACATTTGATGAGTTCCGGAATGAACTTTTCAATATCCTTGTTTTCAATCAATTTGCAGATCTTCTCCATTGTGCCGTAGGCCTTCTTCTTAACTTCAGGCTTGGTATCCCACATTGACTCCGAAACGATCGGGATGAGGGTCGGGACGAGATAGGAAAGCTGGGTAGGAGCAGTTTCGACAAGGGCTTCGATACAATCGAGACCAGTCATCTTCTCGGGCCATTTCTGTGCCGTAATGATGGAGTTTCGGATGTGAGGAAGGGCGACCTTGACGGCGTTGGGGTTAATGGCTTTAACGATGGCAAGAGATGCGGCCTGCGCAGCGTTCTTGACCGAAGTCATCTTGTCGCCCACCGCAGCGAGAGCCAGTGGCAGGAGAGAGATGAGGTAGGGCTCGGCACCGGGGGCAATGGTAGAGTGTGAGGCAACGGCTCGGATGCCATCGAGAGCACGTTCTCGCACCACGGCATCTTTCTTGTTGCCGAGTTGTTTCTTCAGGATCTCGACAGCCTTGAGAGGCACATCGTGCTCCTCGATGGGGCCGTTCAAGAATGTGGCGACGTTGCCAGCGGCGCCATTTGCCTCATCTTGAGTTTTCGAGATGGACAATTGGTGCAGCAACTGCTCGAGGGTGGCGATCGACTGTTTCGTCTCTTTTGACGAGGAAGTCGGAGTAGAAGACATGGTGTCGACAGAGGGCATCTCTGGAGGAAACTCAGAGAGTTTTCAAAGGGATGGATATGTCGAATCTGGTGTTTTTGTGGGTGGAAAATTTCAGGAATGTGAAAAAAAGGCGGTCTATGTCGGCTGAAGGGGGTGCCCACGAAGACTGCGCTTTCCACGCCGGTCCTTCGCTCTATCTGGCTCTAAGAGGATAGGGGAAAAGAATGTGCAAAGACTCTATCAAGCAGAGAAAATGCAAAGAGTCTAGAGGGGGAGAAAGAGGATGGGAGAGGAGAGATGGTAAGGAAGAAGGATGGACTGGGTGAGCCGGCCTGAGTTTTATTTTGTCTCTGGACTTCGCCGTTCTCTGCTCACAGAAATTTTTTTCGCTAGTGCCGCCGGTCCCTAAAAGCCCCTGGTCTATTCGCCAGTCATATCCGGCCGCATCGCCCCATTATTTCACCTGGCGCCCCCATCACTCTCCCCCATCAAATGACTTTTTGACCGCCTTCCTCTAGTCTTTTGCCGCGCTGGCCGACCCAGACCACAAAGAGACACTGTAACCAAAAGAGCCCCTCCGAGATACCAGAGCCAGAACAATCCCGGACAAACGAGTCCCGACCGGAGATCTCGACGATCTCTCCCTATGCCAGTGGCACGGATCTGTCTGGACAAGTCGAAAATTCTCAAGAAAAAAAGGGGCAACACAGCATGGACCACAACAGGGGGAATGGGTCTTTGTGCTTGTTGCCTATGAGTTCAGTTTGGTCAATCTTCTGGAAGACCTATTTTTGTCGCCACTCAGCCTTGGATAATCAACAACCCGCACCCTCCTGTTACAGTAGAGGCCAGCTGGGAGACAGGGGGGTTTCACACCAGTGTGCAGGCTGCATTTACGCCTACCACGTCAGATCTGAGTGCCCAACATCCTAGCAAGTACGAGGGCAGCTCCCGCGGCAGGTTGTCTGTCAAGTTCCCCATGTCGCCTTTTCCCGCCTACACATGGAACAATGTGTAAGCATGCTTCGCCTCCTAGACGGGGCCTTTTTTTACACCCTAATGGCTGAGTGATTGGCAATATCTCTCCTTGAACAGACGGTCATCCCGTTCACCCCGTCCTACTTGTCAGACTTCTTCCCCCAGTCCTGCACTGGAGGAAGCCTGGAGTTACCCTAGGTGCCGGGGAGGGGCTGTGGGAATCATTTCAGGCCAACTCGCGTATCAGACATGCCCCTTTATCGATAGGAACGGAGCTAAATGATAAGAAGAATTATTTTTCCACGCGCACCAAGCCTCCTCCTGAAATCTCCTTGCGATCAAACAGGAGGTGCGACACGAGGAGTCGGCCTGTATGAGGGAGCCTCTAGGATCGTCACCCCCCTGATCACCTCTCATTCCTGTTGTTTCCAGCGAGACTTGCGCCATCAAGTGCAAAAGTCCATCCCGCGAAAATTTACAGGATGGTAAGCTCGGTGCCACCCAACCGCTGGTGCGCCAAAAAATCGGCGAAACGTTCCTTTTACGTGCTTACCGATTGGCGGACCTATCAACTACGGGGATATTGCCGTCCTTTAGTGGCTTGTCGTCGTGGTATCTTCGGCGCGAACTGAATTTTTAATCTTGAGTTTCGGGGATGGACAAATTTGACACTACTCGAATACTTCCATTAAGATCGCGACTGATGTCGATCTTTCTTCTTCGCAAGTGACAAGATGCGGAGTTCTCTGATAGCGGTATCCATTCACGGATACAGGCTCTGTGAAGGATCCTGACGGAAACTGGGGTAGAAGGCCTCTCACAACCAGGCTGAGATCAGTTGTTCACCGCCTCCTCCCCAGATTTTGGCATTCAGTAGACTCCAGATGTACCGCCTTCCAGCTCTCCACATTTCGGTAGTGACAGACAGGAACCCATGCGCATGCAGGGTGCCATCACGGGCATCGCATTTTGTTGGCTTCGCCACACTTTATTTCAAGTGTGCCAGGGCTGACAGGTTTATGTTTCAATTGGACGACATCCTTGCCGTATGTCCAGACGGACACACGCGCATCCTAGCAGGAGATCCCTTTATCACGAATAAGGAAAGATTTCTTGTTGTCATGACTCGTGTTGTTGCAGGAAATAGTGGATCAGCAACGCCAAAACACAGCGGAGAAATTTAGCTGAAGATATTCAACAATCCCTTCCAACCATCGACAAACGCCGGCAAACCCTTTACTTCTGTCAATGATGGTGACGATGCCTGCGCCTGCTGCTGTCGCTTTCACTGCTGCTACTGCTCACACTTCTCCTGCTCTCTGATCTCTTGCGGGAGCGAGACACCGAGCGGCTTCTTCGGTCCTCGTAGTCGTCATAGTATTCGCCATAAGCCTCGCCTTCCCGGCGTTCTTTTTTCCTTTCTTTGCTTTTCTCATGCTTGGATTCGAGCTTGTGACCGGCATAGGCACCTGCGAGCGCTCCAGCAACGGTGATCAGGCCGTTCTTGTGGCCCAACTCATGACCGGCCCCTACCTCACTGTTAGACCTTCTTCAAACGACTGGGCGGTATCAAAACTTACATCCACCAACAGCACCACCAAGGAGAGTTGCCCCTATGTTCTTTTCTGCCTCGTGCCCACCATGATGTTTCTCCCCGCGTTCTCTTGACCTTTCCCGCGATCTTTCCCTCCCCCTTTCCCGTCTCGAGCCTCGGGAGCTTGGACGGTCGTCATAGCGGTCGTCGTATCCTTGCGATGGAGGCGCATAATATGACGCGCTGTCTCCTGCGCGGTACTGACTGGCAGCATATGGGCCGGAGTTACGACGCGAGCGACCGTCATATTCGCCCGCGTACTGGCCGACCTGCATGCCCGAGTTACGCGGCGAGGATCGGTATTGGTCTTCACGTGCAGGCTGATACTCTCCATAGGAGGACTGATATAGGAGTCAGCCAAGACCGATGCTGGCCACATTCGAAATCAACAAACTAGCCTTACCTGTGGAGCAGCGTAGGTTTGACCACCCTCGTGTTGTGATCGCGGAGGTGGCGGATATTGGTTGTACCCGCTCCCTGGTGGGGGAGGATATGGGTTTTGGTTGTAGTAGTCTGACATGTTGATATGGATGAGTCGAATAGCAGTCTTCAGAAAGAAGCGAAGCAGAGATACTGTCGCAAGTGTTATCAAGGACGGCGCATGATGGGAGTGACAGCAGCAGCCTCAATCCTTAGTCAGTCCGGGTGATGCGCGGAGGGTGGCGGGGGATTGTGGCCGGAAGGGCGGATAAATTATGAGGTCATCGCTCGGAACAGCCAGGAGGACGTGAAAACCAATCCGAAACGTCAGGCTCACCAAGCCACAGGCTACCGCCAAGACGCCATCCTCCTTTCGGCCATATCACAAAATGCCTCTTTTTCCTGGAAACTGGCATCTCCGCCACTCTCCGTGATCAGGAGAATCGACATTGTGTGCTTTGCCTGTCAATCCCCACGAATCCTTCTGGACAGAAAAAGGGGAGAATGGGCCCTTCATACTGGTTGATCCTTTCTTGGATCGTGCTCCACAGGACAATCCTTCCAGGAATGAGTTTCATCGCCACTTCTTCTTTCCGAGCATCAAAGCCAAGAAATGTCCTCACTTTTGAGGGCAGACACTGAAGTGTCCGCAGAATGTCGGGCTCCGAATCTGTTCTCAATGGCACCAGATTATTACATCCAGTGGACGCTGATTCAGATGAGATTCCAGCCGCCGTATAGCAGCAAGCAAAACGAGGAAGAATTTCCCCTGTGACATCGATAGTCTGAGTCTTCACTGACTCAGCGTTTGCATGGTGATATATTTGTGAAATGGGTACTCCTGCACTTCAGAGCCTTGCGAGATCTACCCTAAGACGACCAACCATCATCAGGGAGCGGACCCAAACCGAGAGAACAGCTGGCGGCGCTCCCACCTGGTCAGTTTCGGTGCTTTCTCGGGCATTGATAATCACTGGTTCTTTTTCTCGCTACTTGCTTCCACTTCCAATCAGCATCTCTCCTCAGGCGCGGCTGTTCTCAACGGTATCTCTTAGTTGGATTCGGTCTGAACTGCGCTGACTCTTCGGCCTCCACTGTTCCTCCTGAGTGGCATTCGGTGTCTTCGCTCAAACAGGGGCGGTGCCGACTTTTCCTTTCGCTTGATTTAAGCTTAACTGGCTGCACTGTTCAATTGGGTGCGAGGCAGCCTCACCGCGACCTTTCCGCACCCGCTCCACTCACAAATAGCTAGCCTCGTCGTCTCTCGCGTTTTGCGCAAGACCGAGCGAAGCAAACAAGGTCGAACCACCTGCATGTGTTAATGGAGTCAATGTTTGATCTCGACTTTTTTGGGAACTGGGTCCGCACATGGCTTTCGCAGATAGCGCCCTTCTGAGCGGCGAAGCCTCTGAAGGTTTGTCAAAATAGCACGGAGATTTTCTGGAACTATAGTATATATACATCACATTCCCGGCTCTTCATTGCCCCTTTTTGTCTCCCAGCTCACAGTTGGCGTTCAAGACTGCACGAAGAAACAGTTCTACTGTTCAGAACTATTTCCCTAGAACCATATCCACTTCGCCAGACTCAACATGGATCACACGCACGTGTCTCACGGGGCTTCTCTAACTACAACTCAAACTCTGTCGGATGCTGACGGTGCTTTGGAACATGGCGTTGAGAAATCAGACACCAGAATGACCCGGACGTCCACTCGTCGAACACTGGAGCGCTACCAGACAAGGCCGACACAAGATGCCTCGGATGTGCTGGATTTGCCTTACGACATCCTCAGTGATGAGGCCAACATGAACGAATATCTGGAGGAGACGACGACTGGTGTGATTCCCAAGAAGACGATTTCGAGGGTTACTGGAGCGCTTGAGGAGCACGAATTGGTGACTTTCAAGATTGGGGATCCGGAGAACCCAAAGAACTGGTCCAAGGCTTATAGTATGTGCTTCATGCTACATTGTCTTTCTGTTATAATTCCTTCCTGCGCCTGCTGACCCTTCTGCGAACAGAGTGGTGGTGCACCATGGTCGTCGCATTCACATGCTTTACCGTCGCATTCAACAGCGCCGTCATCACCGCCGACTTGGAAGGCGTCTCAGAAACATTCCACGTCTCGGAAGAAGTTTCCCTCCTGACCATCACCATGTTCGTCATCGGATTCGGAGTCGGGCCCCTCGCATTTGCACCGTTGTCGGAACTCTACGGTCGGAAACCGGTCTATATCATCACCCTCAGTCTCGCTGTCATATTTGAAATACCCTGCGCCGTGGCACAGAACATTGGCACTCTGTTGGTCTGTCGGCTCATCGACGGCGTCGCCTTCTCTGCCCCCATGACTCTTGTGGGTGGCACACTGGCCGACCTGTGGAAGAACGAAGAGCGTGGCGTCCCCATGGCGGTCTTCTCAGCTGCGCCCTTCATCGGTCCTGCGATCGGACCCCTGGCAGGCGGTTTTCTCGGTGATGCCGCCGGATGGCGCTGGCTCTACTGGATCCAACTCATCCTCTCCGGGTTTTGCTTGGCCATCCTGACCTTTACCGTGCCGGAGACCTACACGCCGATCCTCCTCGACAAACGGGCCAAGAAGCTCCGCAAGGAGACGGGCGACAGCAGATACGTGACGGAAAGGGACCTCGACACCCGCCCGTTGACGCAGCAACTTGCCATCTTCCTCCTCCGGCCACTGCAGCTACTGTTCCTGGAACCCATCGTGCTTCTCATCTCGTTGTACATGTCGGTGCTCTACGGCCTTTTGTACATGTTCTTCGTCGCGTACCCCATTGTCTACGTCGAGGGCAAAGGGTGGACCGAAGGCAGCACGGGTCTGATGTTCATCCCGCTGGCCGTCGGCGTGCTGTTGTCGGCGGTCCTCTCGCCCTTTGTCAACCGGCACTACCTCTCCATCTGCGCTAGGTACCCGGACGGCAAACCGCCGGCGGAAGCGCGCCTCATCCCGATGATGCTCTCGTGCTGGCTGATCCCGATCGGGCTGTTCATCTTCGGCTGGACGTCGTACCCGGAGATCTCGTACTGGGGCCCCATGATGGGCGGCTTCCCCGTCGGCTTCGGCTTCATCTTCCTCTACAACTCGGCCAACAACTACCTCGTCGACACGTACCAGCACCTGGCCGCCTCGGCCCTCGCCGCCAAGACCTGCATCCGCTCCTTCTGGGGCGCCGGCGTCGTCCTCTTCACCGTCCAGATGTACCACACCCTGGGCTACCAGTGGGCGAGCTCGCTCCTGGCGTTTCTGGCCCTCGCCTGCTGCGCCATCCCCTACGCGTTCTACTTTTACGGCGCACGCATCCGGCAATTCAGTCGCTACGCCTTCAAGGACGAAAACGAAGTTTCGCCCATCAGGGCCAAGAAGGCTGGCGAAGTGTGAAAAAAAAAATCACCGAGATGGCAGGAGAGCGGAAAAAGAGAGATATACAGCTTACAGAAACTACCAAAAGGTGTCGCCCGACTACACCCCGAGTGCGGGAAAAGAGGGTCATCGGACACAGAGATCCCGGGGGAATGGGGGATTCAAAAGTGTCAGACGACCCAGACCTTTTTCTCCCCCTTCTGAACAAAGCGAAGGGTTTGGTTACCGACAAGTCTTCTGGCAGATGGCAGATGGCAGGTGGCAGGAGAGGGAAAGATGCAAGTCGGGGTGGCAATGTCCGTCCCCATTGGCATCTTTCCTTTGTGGTGGAGATGTGTGGGATGCGTGGACGGAGAGAGAGTGAGAAAGAGAGATGTGGTGGTCAAGTGAGTGAGTGAGGCACTGAAGGCATGAGCGAGGTTATCTTCGTGCTTAATTGACAAACCAACCTCTACTAGTCTGCTGGTCTCAACTGTTCCAGGGAGGACCAATGGAAGATAGGGGTCCATGGTGACAAGACCCGAGGTTTTTCGTCCTCAAGAGCTAATTTATTTTTAATGATAGATATCAATTCAAGTAAATTTTTTCCGAGCAATTGCCCCAAACCTCACTCCCACGCCGTCGCTGTGCTTGCCTTTGTCCAGAAAAAAAATACAGATCAGCTCGCTCCCAATATCCTAGTATATGCATCCTCCACCTCCCTCGCAATCTCCAACAGACTCACGATTGCAATGCTATGTGTGGCCTCGGGCAGCTTGTCCCTGTGCAATCCGATCCACTCCAACGGCGGCGTCGCCTCGCCCATGTCTCGAAGCTGTGGCGTATCAATCACCGGCGGCTCAAGCGCCACGTAGGTGAATTTACTCTGCGGAACATTGACAACCGCCGTGATCTTCTCTTGACGTCCATTCTCCCCATCTTCCGAGGGCTCCGCTGTGACTTTGATGGCAGATGGTGGGAGGGGTTTCCCCAGGCGCTGGGCCAGGGCGCGGGAATGAGCCTGCCACATGCCGCGGATGAAGCTGATTCGCGCATAGTTCCAACCAACATCGACTTTGCCCTCGAAGGTGCTCCGGAAGGTATATTCAATCGTGTTGGAGTCCGCGACCTGCCAGGTTTGCATTGCTGAGACGAGACGAGGTACCTTGACGATGGTTCCGCCTCGGGAGGTGGTGGCTCTGTCGATGACATCCGGGACCGAGACCTCGCTCAGAGCTTTGGTGGTAACCCGCGTCACACTCGACAACGCGACTCTGAGTTGTCCCAACGTCATTCCGAGGGCACTGTGAGTTTTGCCCTCGGTTGTCGCCACTGCAAACCTCGCCTGTACTTCCGTCGCTTCGACCTTCAGGATCTGGTTGTCGAAGAACGTGTTTGGGAAGACGCCAGCATCAAGAGCGCCCAATGTCAGAACGACGTCTGTGTGTAGCGCAAATGTGCCCTTTGCAACAGTTTCCCCTTTGCGCTCCCTGACCGGAGCGGGAGTTGTCCAAGTGCTGGATGGAAACACCGATTTCCTTCGGAGGAACTTATCCAGGTCCCGGAGCGATGTCTCGTAGGCTTCATGTTTCTCCTGCATCAATCGTTCAAACGCCTGCACGAGAGCTAGGCCCTGTGCGGCCGTGGCTGTGGTGCAAAACACTTGAACCTTGCCGCCATCGACAAGGCCGACCAGGCGATCACTGTCGCTCCCAAGACCCTGCCTCACGTTGTACATCAAGAACTCGAAGAAAGAAATGTCAGCCACTGCGAACGGTTGATAGTCAAAGGCGGCCTTCACGCGGAAGTGCTCGAAACCGATAGATGCTTGGACGAGGGGGGCACGGGTCTTCGCTGTTGCATCTTCTGGCCATTTGATCGACGTCCGTGCCCGCATATTTTCCAGCTCAATGAAGCCGCTCATCCGCCCCGTGCTGTCGACCCCGACTCTGTCAAACCCCATGCACAAGTTTTGCTCCGAATCGCTGTTCTTCCTCGACGAGGCCCAAAGTTTGGAGATCGTGAAGATCGACTTGCCGAGCCCCTGACCAAGGTCGACTTGGAGCTGGACTTCCTGCACCGACACGATAGCATGCCATGGTAAAGTGCCCTTCCCGGAGAACTCCTGATAGCGCTGCATTGCATAGGCTTGTTGGTCCAGGGGAGACGCGGTGGGGGCGGTTGTTTTGGACTTGCTGCGAAGTTCTGGCGGGTACCAGATTTCACGGAAGAGAAGAAAGTCCTGCAGCTGTTTCGCATTGATGTCTGTCTTCATTGGACTGATGTTGAGAACCACTGAAATACCCGTCGTAGCGCTGACGTGCTTGCTGTTCATTAGCGACATGACAATCGAATCCACTTCGAAACTGGCAGTTGATTCCCGTGAATAAACATGTTGTACCGAAGCCGCGAGTTTGTTGAATGTCGTCTGAATGGCAAAGAATCGTTCTTGATCAGGGGCAGACACGGTGTTGACCCTGACGAATATGTCTGCAAATCTGGCTGTGGCCGCCACTCTTGCAATCGGCTGACAGCTCAAGCTGAACTGCTGTGGTTGTATGTAGAGCCCAGCATTCAGTTTGCAGCGTCCGAAAATGGTACTTGGATTCGAGTTACTGAGCGCCGTCTCCGAAAGGTAACTGCGAGCGTCTGCTGATGAGCCAGGCTTGCCATCCCCTGTCCGATCGTCGCCCAGGATCTCTTTGATGCTTGCTGATATCTCTTGTATCAACGGCACGACAGTAGGGTAAAGAGTATTCGAGGATGCTGCGACTCTGACCTCAGTACTCAGGGACGGATCATCTCGGTTGTCGTCTTTGTACTCGACTTTCAGAGCAACCCCAGGAGCCTTTAACACAGCTGATGAAACATCTTCACCTTGGACTGCTTGACCATACCGGCCTGCCCGAGATCGTTTCTTGCCTTTCAAGAACCCGAATACTGAACTCTTGTGTTCAACTTCGCTCCGAGGGCTGATATGGACCACAGCCCCGGCAAAATCAGCATCAACTAAAAGAGATGCCAGTCGCTTTCCGCCCAACAGATCCATCTGAGAGGCTTGTGGTGTTGCTGGACTGGTCGCACGGAAACTCTTCGCTCTGCGTAACTCGGCGCTGGCATTGCCAAGCGACTTTTGTAAGGCGTGACCTGGTATCACGAAGTCGGAAGAAAGCCGCAGGTCCAGCGCTTTCCCTTTCGCTTGAAACGCAAAGCGTCGTTCATGCTTGGTGGAGAGGTAGGCCGTGGCGAAGACTACTTCGGGTAGTAATGCAGAGTTGGCCGTCCGTTCAATGGGGTTCTCCGAATGGGACTGTGGAACAATCTGCAACTGTGTGTCCAATATCGATAGCCGAGCGGTTCCTTCTTGTCGGGTCTTGAGATCGACCTTTCGTATTGAGAAAACGAGATCGTCCAGCTCACGGGTAGCCGAAAAACCAGGGCTTCGCGTCAAATTCCATCGGAGCATAATGTTCTCGAGGTCAAGAGCATAGGTCGACGCATAGAGGATGGTAGAAGTGCCGTCGACGCTCTCGGCCGCTTCACTGGCCACATCCAGTGGATCTCGAGGTCTCAACCGCTCTGTGAGGCCAGCGGTGGTCATCCTCCGGATGTGTTGCATGTTCTCCCCACTATCAGCAAGCTTGAGTGATTTGATCCGATCTTGCAGAAATGCTATGATGTCGACCGCGAGGGTAGCACTCTCCTCAAACAGCTCAATAGCAATTCCATCGCTCCATGCCCTATAAACCTGGACTGTCCCTGACTTCCCAATTGTCTCGGTTTTGCCCGAGGCTTTCACACCTATGGTACAGAGGCCAAAATTAGCCCGCTCCGATCTTGTACTGCGATAAAGCCCAAGGCCAATGCCCTGAGAGTTTAGGATGAACTGTGGCCGCTCATGGATCGAGTCCGGATCTTCCGCCTCGTTGTGAATGTATAATGTCGTCCCTTGGAGCTGAAGCTCCATATCAGCACGGTAGTCCTGATCTTCCCTGACAGACGGCGCACTGAAGTGGACCTTGATCCCGGCAAGAGTTCCATGAATTGCATAGCGAAGCAAAAGTGTGGCGTCAGGAGGGTTGTCCGCCTTGGGTTTGGACTTCCCACCTGTAAGATGATCGATGGACTCTTGCACTCGCTGGGCTGCTCTCCTGGCATCTAGTATTAATCGGATCACGCCAGGCTGATTCAGTGCGTCGAAACAAGCTCGCACACCCGACGCTTCCAGATTAATCTGTTCGACGGTCATACGAGCTCGGACTGACACCAGAGCATCATTCTGAGCTACGCAAAGACGCCCATTGATCGGCGGCATCTTCAAGAGGGACAAGTTGCCCTGGGAGGCACCCTCGGGGACTTCGAACAAGTGCTCGTGCTCTTTAATGTCAAAATTGACATCCAGTCCACCATGTCGCCGTGGAACGATCGATGTGCGGGCCACGTTCCCGGCAATTGCATAGTGTAGAGACGGAACGATCACGAAGCTCAACCTGTAGTCATCCAAAAACATGGCAACACGGAGATCGAGATTGAGAGCATCATTTGAACCAGAACTCTTTTGAACTTTGCTGCCGTTTGCGCTGGGAATCTGGTGGAGTAAATCAGTAATTGTCGCAGCTTCCTCGCGCACGACAGAATCGGCGACTACAAGCAACTTGACAATGTCTTCCTTCATCTGAAACCGAAACTTGTGCGAAGCGGCACAGATCTGGACCACCATCTTTTGGTCTCCGGAGCTGGCAGGCGGCTGTGGCCATACTGATCCGTATAGTTTTGGCATGCGGAGGCGCCACATCATGAGAGTATGAGAATGGCTTCTGAACTTGGCCATTGCTGTGTATGCTGCAATCGTGAAGGAGGAAATCGTAGGCTTAGAGCCACCTTCGGAGAAAGAGACACCACTTCGAAAGCTTTCGGCTGCCCATTTCAGTTTCAGGTTGATCGTGGTGAGGTAAATGGAAGCTGCATCGGCTCCCACCATAACTGTGAAGTGGTTTCTCTTTGCAGACAGGTTTTGCGCTGCCTTCTCCACGGAATCA